TTCAATGCTCTGCGTTTGATTTGCTGCTTCACTTAAGCAAGCATCGTTTGTGAATACGGGCATAAGAGCTAGTAGTAAGTATTTAGGTGAATAACATAGAGCAAAGTAATATGGTGATTATGTTTGTTTTAAATGGTTAATAAGCACAAACTGACTTCCGATCTATCAAAAGCGAGAAAAGCTTAAAGTCTTAGGTACTTAATCCCACGATTACAGCATTTATTATTTACTAGCTGACCCGGCGAACTTTGTTCCGCCTTAATGGCAATAAATAAGCAGACTTTTTTTTTAATTTCGAACGGGATAAAAAGTATCCTATGTCCTTCTCCTGGCTCTAAACTACCTCCCTGACAATTTTCAGCTAAATCGGTTCAGCCGTTCTTGAGTTATAAGTGGAGCAAATAACACGACTTTCTTTTATATATATAGACTAGCTGTGCCCGCGACATCGTCCGCGNAGCGCGTTCAACCAAACAAACAAACAAACAAACAAACAAACAAACAAACTCTTCAGCTTTATAATATTAGTATAGATATAGATTGTGGAAATAACCGCTCGGTGTATCACTAAAATAAATAAATAAAAATATGTGAATAATACAGTGTGAGTCACGTTAAAGTGTACATATGAAAATAAATAAAACTAGACCTATTTTTATCGACAAAAAAGAGGTCAAAAATTTTTTGAGATTTTTTTTTAATTTTTTATAGAATTTTTTTTCTTCCAATTACTTATTGTAAAGAAAACGTAATAACTTTTAAACTAAGCGGTATATCCTGATAAAATAAAAACAGTAATAATGCTAAATAACAGACAATACTGAAGAAATACATAAAATACCCAGAAAATGCCAGTAAATAATAAAAAATGAGACTTTTTGAAAAAAATCTGCTTAAAAATTCGTATTTTTTTGGTTATTTGATAAATTTCTCAAAAAAAATGCCCCTATAACAGGTAGTTTTTATTACTTTGTATTATTCTCTATCGTATTATCTTTGTAAAACCAAAAATCGCATGTCTCTATACCTATCACAACATTTGCTATGATCGTTTGAACAAAGGCCTGCCACAACATTATTCTCCGCTACAGGTAGAGACAATTTTAATTTTGCCTAAAATGCTTATTTTACTTCGAAATCTTTTGTTTTTATTTGCAATCTAACTTGTTTTTATCAAAATTACAAATCTAGAGCCATTTTCATTTTCGTTGTTAACGAAGCGTTGAATGGCGCGCCCGGAGAGGCTTAGTTCAAACTATCATTGCAAACGTTGTGATAGGGATAAAGACATGCGATTTTTGGTTTTACGAAGGTAATACGATAGAGAATAATACAAAGTAATAAAAACTACCAGTTATAGGGGCATTTTTTGGAGAAATTTATCAAATAACCATAAAAACACGAATTTTTAAGCAGATTTTTTTCAAAAAGTATCATTTTTTATTATTTTTTGGCCTTTTTTGTGTATTTTATGTATTTTTTTAGTATCGCCTGTTATTTAGCATTATTACTGTTTTTATTTTATCAGGATATACCGCTTAGTTTAAAAGTAATTACGTTTTCTTTACAATAAGTAATTGGAAGAAAAAAAATTTGATAAAAAATTTAAAAAAAATCTCAAAAAATTTTTGACCTCTTTTTTGTCGATAAAAATAGGTCTAGTTTCACCTAATTTCATATGTACACTTTAACGTGACTCACACTGTATTATTCGCCTTTTAGTGAAATGGCTGCTTGAGTTAATGCAATCCCAGGCGGAACCGGCAAACGGAGTATGTTACGATTACGATACAAATCTCGAGTTGGAAAACACGCTGATGTCACGAGCAGCTGGCGCTGTGGTTATTCGACGTAAGTTAACTCAGCTATTTGGGTATTCCTCATAATCGTGTTTCTAATGCCCACCTATTAAATTTTGACCTACACCCACGTGCAGTAACTTCGGGGAAAACTATTTTAGTTTTAGAAATGCTTTTGTTGTTAGTGATAAAATGTACTAAGTAAGTACATACCTATCAATATTTTTGTAGGTTTTTTGGTATGGACGTTTTTGGTAAGCAAATAATGAGTAAATTTCTGACAGGTCAAGTATGAGTATTTTTAATAACCATTAATAAAATGAAGTCATAAAAACTGTGAAAAAATGTGCACGTGCAGAAAATTAAGAAGGAATTTCCACATAGTACCTACCTATTAAAATGTTTAGTCATGTGACAAAAAAAATCTTTTACGACCCAATAAAAAGTGGCTGGGCAGTTTATTTTCAACACAGTGTATGATGGTAGAGCGTATACCCGCATATAAATATGGTGCATCGATAAGGAAAACCAGTCTGTGATCTGTTGGAGACTGTTTGGCATCGACCATGTTACGATTACGAGTTGCCAGTGTTCTGTTGGTGATGGCCGTGGCTCACTGCCTCCCCGTGCAACAATCAGCGGAGCAAGACAACTCTGTTCCTCCGCCACAACCACAAATACTTCTGCCTGCTGCACCAATACCTGGCGAGAAACGTCTGAGCCCGAGCATCGACGTGAAGCGACTCCACGTGGTGAAAAAGCAGCCGTGTGTGAGAACTAGTGAAAACTTGTGCGATAGAGACTTTTCGTATATTTATGAATTCGATCTGCTGCCTGAAAAGGTAGTTAGTGGTGACCACGTGAAGAGATTATCTAATCCCGTTTTTCTATAGACTTATTAGGTAGGTATAGTGTTTTAGCTAATTTGAACGTTTTAAATACTTAGTGTAAGTCAAAGAATAACTATAAGTAAATTATTACTGTTTAGTGAATGATTACGAAGACTGTTACTTATAATGTATTTTCCTTGTAACGATGTGCCAGTGATATCTTTTATGTTATTAAAATACCAAAGTATAGATGTGTTCTGAATTTTAATATTACCTAAATTACCTATTCCAATTTATCAGCCGTAAATTTATGAAAAAAAGACTAATACATAACTGTAGGTATTTAATAGGTACGTACATTAAATAAAAGGTTTGTTCTAATTTTCATTTCTCTGTGATGAAAAGGAGAGGGGCAAGTAGGCCTAGAAACCTTTTTAATGCCCTCATACAAGAAACTCATAATTATTTGCTAATATTTTGTTCATTACCTACTTAATTAAATTAGGTAAAGTAGACTACACCTGAACTAAGTTTAGGTAGATGCAGTCTAAGGTGGTGATAAGTGACCAATAAGTGCATCAGGTGAGAATGTTCGAGAAAGATACCAGAAGGCAAGTAAATCAAGTAAAATTAGCTGTGCCCCATTACTTAGGTACCTACAAGTGGGGTCCCCTACGTGCAGGTTCGAAAAACGTTATAGCGATGCAAGCTGTTGCGAATTATTTTTCCACTGCCCATCACTGCTGCCCATAGGTTCGAAAGCTTAAGGACTCAAATGACGTAGTCGCGAACGACGCTGTTTCGAAAAACATTTTCAATGTAACAGACAACGTTTTTAAGATCCTACTAATAGTATGCAAATTGCTTAGTTATTTTTATATTTAATAATTTGTATAATTAAGTACGAAATATTGCATACTGTTTAAAATAATCTATATTAATTATTATAAATGCGAAAGTAACTCTGTCTGTCTGTCTGTCTCTCTTTCACGCCTAAACCACTGAACCGATTTTGATGAAATTTGGCATAGATATAGTTTGAGTCCCGAGAAAGTACATTGGATAGTTTTTATTCCGGTTTTTGAAACAGGAACGCGCGTGATAAAGTTTTTCTGTGAGAGACAAATTTCCACGCGGGCGAAGCCGCGGGCGGAAAGCTAGTGACAAATAAATCAGTCACAAGCAAGTTGAAGGCAGTGAAAACGATTTTCGAAACAGCGTCGTTCGCGACTACGTCATTCGAGTCCTTATGCTTACGTCTGGCTTTCGCGGCGTTTTGTTGGGCAAATAATCTTGTTCCTACACACGGCTGTACGGAGCCCTACCTGTGTAAGTCCAACTCGCACTTGGCCAGTTTATGATATTGGCCTTTTTACCAATCTTGTTATTCCCAATACGTTCCAGTAGTAGCGCAAGGCATGCGGGTGAGATGAGTGTCCTTTGGCAATGAGAACAAAAACTTAATTGAATAACATTGAAAAGTTTTTTTTTCTTCTTCAAATGAAAAGTAACCTAGTTAACTAGTCCTAAGTTACTTACCTATTCTTGTAATTTTCAACATCATGTTCAGGAATCTGTTTTCCTGAGCGCAGGTAACGGCTGCTATTTTCTTCTTTTCCATATTATTATGTGTGGGTCTCTCTCTGAAATGATTTCAACCAAATCTATATTTACCTTGCCAAACATAATTAGCTAATAAACAGCACAGTCAACACTTTTAAGTTATTTAATTTACTTTTACCAAGAACCGTTATCTTTTGAACATAAGTCGCTAGGTTAACTTTTCATGTATTGGTTAAAATTACGCGCTTCACAACCATTGCTAATAAAATGACCAAGTTTTAGTTATGTAGGTAATTTAATGTTTCTGTTTAAAATTATATTTTAATTTAAGGTACCTACCTACCTGTACTGTCCTGTACATAGTAGCAGTAGGTAGCAGTAGATATAATAATTTTTCTAACCTCTGGAGAACTTAGAAGTCTATTGGAGACTAATAGAAATAGGTAATTTCTTTTTGTAGTACCTACCACTACCTACACAACTACCTACTTTATCTTTTTTTTTTGTAATAAGGTTCACGCGGCTTGCACATTTGCCATTATCAAGTTTTTTATTTAGAGGTGTCTATTTTTTGGAGACTTTTTTCTCTGTTATTAAATAGTTTCTCTATCTTTTAAACTGTGTTTTATATCCCAAAATTTCATATAAATGTAGTTTTTATTATTTTCTAGCACAGCCTTTTAGATTATTTGTAAAATAAGCTCTGCGTGTAAAGAAACAGGCACAGCCAACGATGAATGAATGGTGAACGAATGAGTGAGCGGAACAGGCAGCATTTGTCTCTAATGTCATTGTCATTTGAATATCATTCATTCTTTCTCAAAGTTGCACGAGTGTCGAGTTGCGAGCGCAGAATTGATTTTATTTAAAGTTACTCACAGTAACAATGTTAATGTAGTATTTGCGAGTGTTGTCCACGTTACGTGACTATGGGCTACGATATCGGCTGGATCATCCCGCGCCTGCGAAGCCCGGGCAGGTTGTGGTACTGTGCGAGCTCTATCACATTGGCAGTCGTCGGTTTATTTAGTAAGATTGTCATAGGTGAGCCCATTCATCAATTAAAATTATCTCATATAACACTTGTTAGGCCTCTCAAGTACTTTTTAAGAAAGTTTATGCCTTCATTTTGGTGATGAATTTATGTAAAAATATGTGATGTCAACTGGGTTCCTCGCATCGACGAAATTTGAACTGGTTGCTTACGATGCATATCATTAGCAGGTCATGTTGTACGCTAACGCAACAGTCCGTTTGCGCTGAGTTGCAGGGCTCATTAGCGCGTCGCGGCCTCTTCGACGAGGCAGCTCCAGCTATTAGACAATGCCCAATCATCTGTTAACCTAGATCAGTCGCCAAGGCTACGCTCAAAACTTCTTAACTCTCGGCTATTTATATTGCGGGACTGTGCATCAGTCGAGAGTACATGCCATTGATAATCACTTCGAATTTTGTATCATAATAAACAACTGATTTTATAATTAATACACACTAAACAGCTGATACTTGAACAAATACTTATTATATAAGTTGTTTACTAGTAAGTTATTTTGAAGAGAATTAAAAAATAAAAAAAGCTTATAAATCTATGAAAATTAAATTTTAATTTCTTGCTTAACACTTGAGGACTCGCGCCTTAATTTGTAACATTCATACTCGCTACCGGGTGCGCTGGACCCAGTATATAAAATCCTATGTATTTTTCAAAAACTCTTAATAAAAGTGAAAACTACTTTATCATAAGGATAATATGTTATAAACAAAGACAAAATAATAAACCAAATAGTCATATTTATTGTCTTTTTATAAAATAACAACTAATTTAAAAAATTGAAGGTTTTTTGGCAAAATGAAGGTTATTTTTTAAAATTTTTGTAATTAATTATTTAAAAAAATACCTTGTTTATTTTCGTAAACTACTATGATTTGCCTACTTATACCAATTAACAATTAATGAGAAATTTGTATAGAACATTAAAACATTCACATTGTTTACCGGGTCCAGTGGACTCAAAAACACATTTTTCGTCTGTAGCAATCACATGCAGTGGGCTATTTGACGATTATGACCGCTATTGGCTGTGCTACAATGTCGTGGAAAGGTACTAAGAGCAACAACATCGCAAACGTCTAACTTTAAAAGTTATTACACAAATATTGAAGAACTGGGTCCGTTAGACCCATTAGCGAGTCCTTAAGTGTTAAAATACTTAAGATTGAAAATGTCACTTAAAATTGAAGTTTTAAACTTTTACGTTCCATATCAATTAAAATAGTAAGACATGTATTATGTATCTAGGTATACCTGTTATATTACATTACACCCATATTATGGGTTTACATTATACTTCAGTCAACAAAGTAAATGCTATGCTAATGTATGTTTCTGAGATCATTAAGTCAAGATCGCTCCGAAGACACTGAATATTCCTGATACTTATGTTACAAAATTATTAATTTTAGTTAAGTTTTATATTTTACAAATAATCAATCTTTTCTCTTAGTTTCATCAATGCACAAATAATGCAGTGCTTTATTATAATCCAAACTAGCTGTGCCTGCAACTTTGTAGGTAGGTTTTAAATACTATAAAACTAACATTTTCGCAACTTTTTTCCTTACTGCTCAGCCCCTATTGACTACATGTTACATATAACCTAAAGCTTTCCTCAATAAATGGACTACCCAACAAATATTTTTTTCAAATCGAACCAGTAGTTCCTTAGGTTAGCGTGTTCAAGCAAACAAACTTTTGAGCTTTTATATTAGTTATAGATTCTCTTTATTTTCACAAAGTAGAATAAAACTATTGGCAGGTTTCATTAAGTTAGGTTCTGAAACGAACCTAACCGGTTTTCAGAATGTCTTCAGGAACCTACCTGAATTTTTCAGGAATTTCCGGTTTTTTGAAACCTAACCGGTTTTTAGTTGGGTTTCATTAAGTTAGGTTCTGAAACGAACCTAACCGGTTTTCAGAATGTCTTCAGGAACCTACCTGAATTTTTCAGGAATTTCCGGTTTTTTGAAACCTAACCGGTTTTTAGTTGGGTTTCATTAAGTTAAACTATTGGCAGATACAATAGAAAAATAATATATTAATTAAGTTACAGTCAAAACTCATAATCAGTCAAGTCAAAACCACTTAACTTCGCAGTGGCACTCAATACTACTTTTGACTGCAAAATCTGTCAAAAGTGATATTGACCAAGGGCATCAGTCAAAACCACTATTGACCGATTTTTGCAGTCAAAAGTGGTTTTGACCCATTATGAGTTTTGACTGCAACAGGTACATTAAATTAATTAAATAAACCAATTAGGTATTTGTGAATACCCCATTTGTTAGACCCCACTGGTTTTTATCTATCTACCCTCATTGTGTAAGTCCCCCTACCAGCATAATAAAGCTCTTTTAAATATCAACATCCTGTGAGCAAACTTTGTAAGGATTTAGTACGCGTCTATACTAACTCTTGACAATGCAGTTCTGGATGATTTTTCACTTCTCTCAAGAGATCTTACAGTTATTTCTACACATTTTCTACTATCTACTTTCTTACAGATCTTATACAGCACTATGATTGGGCTATAAAATTAATAAGTATTTGGGAGGTCTACTTTAAAACTACCATTTCAAAAGTTTGGAGAATCATGTATCTTGTAGAATGTGACAAGATTCATTATACTTTACAGACAACACACTCCCAGTAGGTATTGTAGTAAATGTACATTATATTAATCAATCTTGTCCGGTTTCGCGGCAGAGTTCCTTAACAAGACTACGGTGTACAACAAAGAGGCGCTGCAGCGCGCCGTGTGCCGGCCGCCCGGCGTGCCGCTGCTCACCGTGTCCAACCACCACTCCTGCTTCGACGACCCCGGCCTGTGGGGTGAGTGCTCCTGAACAGACGGCGGTGTACAACAAGGAGCCGTGTGCCGGCCGCCCGGCGTGCCGTCCTCACCGTGTCCAACCACCACTCCTGCTTCGACGACCCCGGCCTGTGGGGTGAGTGCTCCTGAACAGACGGCGGTGTACAACAAGGAGCCGTGTGCCGGCCGCCCTCACCGTGTCCAACCACCACTCCTGCTTCGACAACCCCGGCCTGTGGGGTGAGTGCTCCGAGCACATAAAACCTAGTTAACATATTTGTAAAATCTGACTACCTACTCTTTAAGTTTTCTGCTAAATGTAGTTTAACAGCTGAATGGTCATGCAAACGTTCGCATAACGTTGCGTGCGTGCACACGATACGCCAGTGGCCTGGTTAATCGCCACAAATTGCAATCTTTAGTCAAATGAAAAGTGGTGATATTTTTGTTCAAAAATGCTTATCACTGATAAACGTATTTTGTTTACCTGTTGAAGAGTTTTTTTCTGTTATTTGGTTTTACAAAAAATCATTATTATCTATGCTAAATTATAAATATTAAATACATACTCAGAACTACAAAAGGCTTTTGTGTATAATTTTTAAAACTGCTTCGATTTTCAACAGGTAACATAAGTAGTGCCCCGAATAATTATACTGATAAAGAATAGAATTTGAGTTATCTACGCCTTTAAAACTTTATTTCCACAAATTCCACATTACTACCTACTGTGTAGTAACGCGATGTAGGTGACTTCTCGGGGTGACACCCTTATTTTTATAACATATTAATCTACGTAACGCAAGTAAATTAATTCAAAATTGTCCACGTAATCTACTCTACTTACATTCTAACACGAACACAATGACCCAACCCAAGCCTGACTGGGTACATTTATTAGTTTTCTAGTCAGAAATAAATGGAATACGTAGATTTATTCATAGACTATGAATAAGTACACTTACTTGTATTCATGAAATATGTAAAAGTAGCTATAACAAATATCATTTTAATAAATTGATATCTGCAAAGGTGATATAGAGTTGATCGGGTGCTCACAAAGGGTTTGCTCGGATCGTATAGGATAAAAGGTCGAAGGTTGCATTATTGCGTCACCTCACTCGACTCTCGACTGGGTACTATACTCTAAGCGCGCGAATGATAGTGCTCAGCTTCGTCAATTCACTGATGGAATATAAACATAGACCTGTAATCTCACCTTTTGTGGTTGTTCCTTAGCTGCTATCTGTGTATCGCTATTATGCCAATCAGTAATGACTGTAGTATGCAATGGCATAAAGGTAAACATCTACGATTTTATTATATGTTGTTAGGTTCCTTGAGAGAAGTTTACATTTAAGTTTGCAACCCTGAAAACCATGTGCTTTATGGTGCTCATAAAACGGGGAAATTTTGTTGCTTCTGGTGGAACTGTCTTGTTAAAGTCAAATCAATGATAGATAAGTTATTAAACTAATCCTAAGATTACATATAAGCTCCGTAAACCAGGGACCATTTTTCTTATCTGATATGAACGTAAACAATCAAATAATTAGTCCAGTAGATATCTACCGTAATATAATTATAGTTACTATCACTAACGACGAACCTTGTAATGACGATCCCACCTCGGGGCGTGTATGAGAGCCCCTGAGACTAATCAAAAGTTTACGAAAACGGTACTCCTGTCTCCTACCGAACTAACTCGACACTTGATGTGCACATCTCGCGCTCCCCGGTTCATAATCCACTTTGATATGAAGTTGAGTAATAGAGATAAAGTTATCGTTCCACGTCATTCAAATTCGTTATTTTGTACTTGATTATGAGCCTCATGCATTCTTTTGTTAATTTTTGAATGAAATAAATGTAAACTGATGACGCACGGCCATTGTTTTACATTGATGATTTGATGAAAGTCAAGACGAGTTCATACGACGAGTGAGGTTCTCGACGCGATCACCCCTCGCCTTCGCAGGTTCGAGACTCTTGCGGCACCAAGGATGCCAAAGTCAATATCTAGCAGTGATTGGGTTGCCATTGCGCAACTGAAGGATGAACGGCCCGAAATTCCGCCTATTGCGAAACTTGTTTACCTCCTGACTCGGTAAGCCACTGACCGCGATCGCAACAAACCACGAACGGCGCAATAAATAAATATGTGACCATTGTATTGGCGTCTAAAACATATCAGTCTTTGCGGCGTTATCCGCTCCTTTAGTTATCTTGGTCTTCCGTCTGCAATCAGCTGGCACATATTTCATTATGACGTCTCCCTCCGTGGTCACCGGTTTGTTTACTGATATGCGTAATGCATTACATTTACATACAGATACGATGTTATTAAACAAAGAAAACAAGCACTCTGCACAATAGCCTTTATTCTGTATTAAGTGAAAATAATCGAGAGCTATTCTGGTAAAATAAAATAAACAACAAATATACCTACTAAAGGTAAAATTATTATGGCGTGTTAGACGTGTGAGGCGGCAATCGAGGAACTGTTTTATTGGGTTACTTTATCGCCGTTATGAATGGTGCTCGTTGCGTCAACAGAGGACGTAGTCATTTTCGTTACGTATTCCGTAAACTTGCTCTAGGCAGTTGGCCGTCCTTCGACGTAGCATGGAATTTTACATATTAATATTTTGTAACTTTAACAATGACTGTGAGTTTTATTAATAAAAAAAAAACATCAAAATTGCATTATCATGCAAATGCATTTCGTTACTTACCAAAGTTACCATGCTTTCCTCAGTCAGTTTTAATGTCTACGTCTATTACATAAAATGACAGGACAAATGGTTGCTTAAATTAATTATGTAACCAAAAACGTATTTTATGTTTGTTACAGTGTACATTTTTTTCTTAAACCCTTTTTCTCTCATTCCACTGCGCCTTTAATTTATTATTTTAACTCTGCTGAAATTTCAAAAATCAGTATTGTCGAGTAGGTACTTATTAAACTAGCATGATGAAACAGTCGTAATAAATCCCATCCCAACTAATATTATAAATGCGAAAGTAACTCTGTCTGTCTGTCTGTCTGTCTGTTACGCTTTCCCGCTTAAACCTCGCAACCGATTTTGATGAAATTTGGCATAGAGATAGTTTGAGTCCCGGGAAAGAACATAGGATAGTTTTTATCCCGGTTTTTGAAACAGGGACGCGCGCGACAAAGTTTTTCTGTGACAGACAAAATTCCACGCGGGCGAAGCCGCGGGCGGAAAGCTAGTAAAGTATAAATTGCTTGTGTAAGGGTTTAGACAACTTTCTGCCAAGACAGGGTAACTACTTATTCGCAAACTTGTATGACTGGGCACTTGGGCAGGTGTCTCCACGGTAGCTAATAACTGTTTACTAGCTTGTTGGATCAAGAATAATAATAATGTCCATTAGGTTTACCTGTGTGTCACAATTTTTTTAAAGAATATTTGTAATTTATAATACAAATTACTATTGTACAGATTATTTGGCGCTTATTGTATTTGGGTAAAGATTTAGTAATCTATGCAAGCATAATGTTGACAAATAGAATTGTATTTTTTTATTTCATAATACATAGCTAATATAAAAGTAATAATGTACTCTATGTAGATAACCCTAAGTCTCAAATGGATTACTTGAGTGATCGATGTCGTAAAGTAATGTAAATACTATACCACATTAGTATTCTATGACTTCAATGACCTTCCGTATAACGTAAGCAGCAAGTGTCTTGAAAGTAGATGCTTGTTTGTTCCTACTCACAAAAACCCAAGTTGCGGCGCATACCTGGCGCAGCGTGCTGTTTGTGTCGCTGCGTGGTAAACAACGTGCGCGTCCGTCAGCCACCTTTAATATGAACCTGCGTGCTGACTGTCGGTGCGCGTTGGTGGTTCGATTAATTCGCTCTGCTGCTGCAGTGCCCATGCCAGACTGATCATTACCAACCAGAGCGCGAAGCAATCGCCAGTGACGCGATCTGTTTATAGGCACCTATTTATGTTAGCAAAGAAATCAGAAATTAAAATCACACTCGTTACAATGAGCATCACTATATTCTGAAAAAGTAAGGCTGGTGTCTGAAAAAGGTACAATGTAGGTACCTATTAAATATCAAATCGAATGTTTATTTGTGATTTCTTATCATGATTTATGTGGATGATAAGTTATTTTAGAATAGGTAAGTAAATATTATGTTGTGTTACATTGTCGGTAACCCAAGACAAGTCATGAATTAAATTTTAACGATCAAAGTACCGATGCTAAAATATACGCATTAACTCATAAACCTAAAAAAATATTGAAACTCCATTAACAATATTATTCGGTGGCACAGAATATCGTTAGGTAGTTTGCCTCTGCCTTATGGAAATGGAAAGCGGTTCCAAAGTAATGAGCCAAAGTACGAGGAACATTTCTCAATACAAGTATGAACATTACTCAATAGTTTCCGTCAGTCTCCTCTTTATGATTTTGTATTTAAAGATGCGTTTCATTTTCTATTATATTAAAGTGTTACTTTTATTACGGAAATGCGAAATAGGCATTAGCTACATAATTATGAGTTAGTTTAGCTAGCAAATGAACATCTTGCTCGAATTGGGTATTACCAGAGCGGAGTGGCAACCCTTGGCTCCTCTAGCGCGTGGCCGTGCGTGCGGCTGTTCTCATTGGCTTGTATGAGGAAACATTATGCAAAAACTGGAATGTTCAAATGACTCACAATTTTCTACTAATTAAGGGAAACTTGTAACATCTTACTTTTCTCAATGATTTTCACCCGACTGCGCCAGGAGGGTTATGCTTTTTTTTTTTATGAGCTCTCGTCTCCTTTGTTGTATGTTGATCAAGGCATTACTAGCCAAGTAAATTAACAGGTAATGTAACCTAATTATTCAATCTCGACAACGGTGCTGTAGAGTCATTCGGGGTAACAGCACGCGGTGGGTAAAAGTACGCGGTGGTCCGATCTCCGACAGGAGTGGAGGAGCCGAGAACTGTGTTTGTAAAATAGAGTGGCGCTACTGTCGCCGTTTAGGAGCCACGTGCCGCACTANGTAGGGTTAAAACTAATTAATCTTGATGGAAATTTTTCTTAAATAGTGAAAATTTATTAAATATTCTACAGATTTAATATCATAACATGCCAATTATACAATTCTTTATAGGTCTGGGAGGCCATCAAAAAAAAAGTGCGTGCTCTTGACCCGAATGACTCTAATAAAACCTGAGATCTTCAATAACAATGAGGGCTATCGTTTTTATACTTAACAGTTGGCACCCCTGGCGATTGACAGGACCTTACTCTACAGTGGCGCCATCTTGATGAGTGCAATTGCGATAGTCCTCCTACCACTTTAGCGCTCACCAGTTGGTGCCACTGTCTTCGCTACTAGCAAGTGGCAGGACCTTACTCTACAGTGGCGCTAACTGGTGAGCGCTAAAACGATAGCCCTCATTGACCGACGACCTCATAAAGCATGAAGGCGCTGGATGCGCTACCAACCGGTTAATATGGAAAACATAGAGCATGTTTAAGATTGGACGTCCTGAGGCTGAAATGATGATGATTCTAAAATTTTCGTTAGTGAAATCAGAAACTTCCTTGTACAACTAACACAGACAGTCTCGCGGCATTCGGGCCGCTGATTGTTTCGTATCGGTGAAGTCATTGTTATCGGTTGCAGGCATAGAGATATAGAGAGATGCCAACTAATGCGCTGAGTTCGAAACTCAGTATCTCATTAGAAATTCACACACAAAGTAATCAAAATATGTGCTCATTATCCACTGCGGTATCAGTCAGTCTCAGTACTCAACGTTCGAATAATCTTTAGTGCTGCTGCTATCATCATTGCTTTCACGAGAAATGTGTTCTGATTTTGGGCATATTGCCGCGACATCGGCCCCGCCCCCTTCTCACATTAAAAAAACTAAAACTCATTAAAACTCATTTATTTCTGTAAATAGGCTTAAAAAAAGCACTTTTACACGTCCCAGTATTAACCCTACCACTGCTTCAGGACAATAAATGGGCCAGTGCTGAGAAGAAGCAGCGCAAGAAACTCAGTCACTATTGTCAGCCTCTTTTTCAAAGGTTTACATGCTTTAAAATGTACAAAGTTATAAATATTTATGCGAGCTAGGCAGTAACGTATCCCAAACATTTTTATCTTTTAAATAATCATCGACTTTATAGTAGCCCTTTTTCATTAAGGTACTTTTAATATGTGCTTTGAATTTATGAATGGGTAGTTCTACAACAGTTTGTGGTAATTTATTAAAGAATTTAATACATTTTCCCATAAATGAATTACCAATCTTATGCAATCTGAAATTTGGAACGGCAAGTTTATTTTTGTTTCTTGTATTAAAGTTATGCAAATCGCTCTTTTTCGTGAATTGCTGTATATTTTTGCGGACATCTCCCTTTAGTTCCTGTGACGTGTGTTTGCAGGCGTGCTGGACTGCGTGACGCTGGTGCGCGGGTCGCGCATGCGCTGGTCGCTGGCGGCGCACGACATCTGCTTCACCAACGCGCTGCACTCGTACTTCTTCGCGCTCGGCAAGTGCGTGCCCGTCGTGCGCGGCGCCGGCGTCTACCAGGTGCGTGCGCCTCCTTTGAACCTCCATTAGTTTTCGTTCAACTCGAACGAAGCATTGCCTAACTTGAGTACCTAATTGGTATGTTTCGCTAAACTTATTACCGTATTTATTGATGAAAGTGATTTTCAACCGACTTCAAAAAAGGAGGAGGTTCTCAATTCGACCCGTATGTTTTTTTTTCTATGTTTGTTACGCGATAACTCCGCCAATTATGAACCGATTTGAACAAATCTTTTTTCGGCGTATAGGTAATACCTCAAGGGTGGTCCCATTTAAATTTAATAATAGAAAAAACAACCCTCAAGGGTGGAAAATTGGGGATGAACTTTTTTATACGCAATATCTCCGCCGATTATAAATCAATTTGAACGATTATTTTTTTGTTGAATAGGTATTATCAAAAGGGTGGTTTCATGCGAATTTGAAGAAAATATTTCACCCCTAAGGGTGGAAAATTGGGGATGAACTTTTTTATACGCAATATTTTTAATTTTTAGTTTTTTTTGTGTTCACGCATTTGAAGTCGGTTTTATTTTTTTAAAAAGTTAATATTTAAAAAAATAGTTTCGAACGTTCAGAGAATAAATTGGTTTCGCAGCCAGCGATCGACTTCTGCGTGGAGCGGCTGGAGCGCGGCGAGTGGGTGCACATCTTCCCGGAGGGCCGCGTGAACGTGGACAAGGAGCACATCCGCTTCAAGTGGGGCGTGGGCCGGCTCGTGGCCGCGTGCGCCGCGCCGCCGCTCATCGTGCCCGTGTGGCACGAGGGGCTCGACCGCGTGCTGCCCAACCAGGAGCCCTACCTGCTCAAGTTCCGCAAGCGCGTGTTCCTCAACGTCGGCGAGCCCATTCAGATCGATCATCTCTTAGATAGGTGAGTCGCTCGGTCGGCGGCGTTCGATGTTTTCGTCGCCGAATCGACCGGCGTTCGCGACACCTCCTCCTCCGTCAAAATCAAAATCAAAAATATTTATTCAGTTTAGACCACAAGTGGCACTCATGAACGTCAATAGAAAATAATAAAAAAAGAAAAGGTAGCCCTCGTGGGGCACTTCACATGTCTCCTTATCTTTTGGGCCCTACCGGCGCTTCGAGACAAACATAAAATATGGCAAGTGCTGAGAAGAAACGCCGGAACAAACTTCGACTTCCCCATCGTACCGACCCGCTCGATCGTTTTCTGCCGCAGGTTAAGAAAATCGAACGCCAGCGAGGAGGAGACGCGGAAGGCGATCACGGACCGCATCCAGGACGAGCTGCTGCGGCTGCGAGAGAGCACGCACGCGCTCATCCGGCGCGCGCTCGGCGCCGCCGCCGACTCGCTGCTGGAGCGGCCGGCGCCCGAGCCCGCGCCCGCGCCGCCGCCGCCCGCCGCGCGCCTGCCCAACGGCGCCGCGCGCGACAAGGACAAGGAGCTGTAGCGCGCCGCGGCGCGGCGGTGGCGGCGTTGACTGTAATTTATAGGTACGCGTGAACATGCAATATCAAAATGTTCGAGGTCCCACTTCAGTGGATGAGGATCGATAGGTTATTTTGCCGATGCGTCGTCCCTCTCCGCTCCGTGCGAGTGGCGTCGATGTCGCTTCGGAACTTTCTCGTGCGTATCCTTTCGGAGGCAGCTCGGCTTATGAACGGAAACTTGTACCAAACAAAAGTGTCGATTGTCGCATACGACCGACGCATATTTTAGTATCGAGCGGCATCGGCGTTAACCCGGTCACCTCTCCGCCGTGGGGCTGGATCATATCGAATCGATGATTCCGGGAGAATTTCGTAGGTAAATCCATAAATCAAATTTTTATACAAATCTTTACAATGTTATCGTTTGTAACTGATTTTAACCGTAGACCGTGGAGTAGTATTTGTAACGAATATACGCACAACCGATTGCGCGGGCGCAGCCGACGGCGGCCGGGTTCGATTCGATCGGCGGCGGACCGGGCGCCCGCGGTCCCGGCGGATCGATCGGGCGCCGCCCCCCGGTCGGCGGGTCGCATCCGAGGCGACGGCAGCGCCCGCGTAATTTCCAAAGGAAAGGCATGAAGTTTTTTCGTTTTAGTATTATTAGTTAGTGAATAACTCGGGAGGAGTCGCGGCCGGTCTGCGGCTTCGAGAGACCGCCGCTGCGAAAGAGCCCGCGAGCGGAGGTCTCTCGCGCGAGCGGGAGGCGAGCGACGGGGTCGCGGCGTGACTACCTCAGCTTCCCAACCGCACCCGCCGCGGCCTCGTCGCTGCGGCTCTCGCTCCGTCCGCGCCGACCACTCGGCGGCCAAAGTTAGGGCTATATTTCACCGGGACACCATGGGAGCGCAACCAGTCGCCGCTACCAACAAAATGTATACAGCGCTATAGAGAGTTACTCACCTGGTGTCCGTTTGGTTGCGCAAAGCTGCACACATTTTGTTGGTAGCCGGCGACTAGTTGCGCCGCCATGGTGTCCCGGTGAAATATAGCCCTTAGTGTTGTTCGCGCAGCGGCCGCGACGCGGGCCGGGCCACGCGGCGCTTCTCCGCTCGTCGCGTTGCATCCCGTCAGCGTGAGATTTTGACTTGCCAGTGAAGAGATCCAACCGAATCCAGTAATGCATGCAATTTTTCCGATACAATTGTTAGTGGTCCAATATAATGATAGGAGCGCCGCGTAGTTCCGCGCTGATTAGTTTATTGTAAGTAATATTACGTGGGAATGTTATCGATAAGGTGTCGTGTGTGCGTGTTCTGTGTCGTGACTCGTGCTCGTGCTGTGCACCCGAAGTGAATATTTTCTTGAGACTATACATACTCTTGCGATTTCGCTGTTCCTTTACACTCTGTTGATGGTGAACGTTTCACAAAATTATCACTGTTCTCGTGATTCCCCTGTAAATTTATACCTGGAGCTTCTATTTGTAGTTCCCACTATCAAAATAATTTTTATATCGAGTTTTTATCTATTTTTTACACAATTTTATAGTTGTATGGTTTACATAGGGTAACGTGCGAGGCGCCGAGAGTCCATCCGATTGTTTTGTTGGGTAGGCTCGCCGAGTTCGAGGCTCGCCTAGTGTGGCGTGTCTGCTTTGTATTGTCGTTGTTCTCTACTAGTGAAATTTATTTGTAATATAATTGTCGTTACCAGTGTGATGTGCTAATCGATGTGAACTGAGTATTTTGAACGTTATTCTACTAATCACTGCGATATTTTTCATAATATCTGTTGTCTTCCGCACATTTTTATTATTACAAATTGTTTATCATATGAATTATACTATGTGTACTGATTACTTACATAATTATGTAAGTAGTTTTAGGTAATTAATTTAAAATGCCACCTTGTCCTATAGATACCGTTAAAAGTTCTTTAATTTTTTTAAATCGTTATTAAAGTAATGAGTGCCATCTTACATTTGTCCGTCGCTATCGCTATGTTCCACAGAATATAGGACAAGGTTGTGTAGACTATGTTGATGGATGTGCTGCTTAACTGTTTCGGTACAACAGGCAAGGAAAAGCAGATTCATGGGCACTCTCCAATCGCAATCTTGAAATTAATGCTATATTGCAAACGCTATTGGGAGTTCCTACAGCTCTCCACTGGTTTGAACGACCTAATCTCGGGGCCAAACTTGTCATACAAAGCCATAATATTATTATTAGCAAATTTAGCAACATCAACATCGTCTGCACACATTCAAGTGTCGCATAATACTGTCGTTCCTATGTTCAGTCGATAAGTCCAGGGCTTGTATATACGAGAATTGATTAGTTGGCCACAATGGGTCGCAAATAACGTATTTTTTATTTGTTGTTGTTCTGTTGTCTGAACTAACTACATGGAAACCGCTTTTTGGATATCTAAGTCTATTTTATTAAAAAAAATAAATTGATGGACCTTACAACCTGATTTTTATTAAAATACTAGCAGACCCGGCGAACTTTGTTCCGCCTTAATGACAATAAATAAGCAGACTTTTTTTTTATTTCGAACGGGATAAAAAGTATCCTATGTCCTTCTCCTGGCTCTAAACTACCTCCCTGACAATTTTCAGCTAAATCGGTTCAGCCGTTCTTGAGTTATAAGTGGAGTAACTAACACGACTTTCTTTTATATAATAGATATAGATTTCTTATGTCACCAATTTCCTCAGGAGTTTATCTCTTGCGCACAGGTGTATAGTTAACTTAGGTAATTGATACAAGGGTATTTTAAATAAAATATTTCAGTTTTGATACCAACATTTTAATGTCCATTCAAAATTATATCTCATTTTATGTACAGTCAACGATTACCCGAACATCACATACAAATGATCTGTCATACAAATTCATACATCATTAGGAACAACTAGCTTCTACGTATTGTTGCGTAACGCTAAAGGCGGACACGGCCCGGGGGCCAGACCGCTTCGATTCTTAAACTTCAAGGACAGTCAACGGATTAAAAAAATAAATCCTTACATTAGACTTGAACAAGATTTGAGATTTCGTCGCACATACAATAATACAATATATCTAAATATAGAAATCTGGCGCTAAAATTTTACAAAAATATATAAATGGATTTCAGATTTTTAATTCGCGAGTAGGTACGCAAAGAACTAATGTAAAATAAATAGCACTAATTTCATTTTAGCCTATGTAAATGCTTTTCATATTATTAATGCGCCGTTTTGTAATATTTCTCTTACTTATCTATTTAAATTCCGAATTAACAATCCATAATATATCGAATATTGGAAAGTTTCGTCCAACAAACGGTTCGTTTCGGTGCCAAAGAAATACTATTTTTTGTACATTTATTGATATGTTAAATGAGGATCAGTACTGTTGTAGAAAATTCAATAAAACTAGTATCTACGTTAATCTTTAAGACATAAGAAAGATATATCTTTTTGAATTATCCAAATCGGACCATTACTTACGAAGATATTAAGTAATAAACATAGGCCNTCATTAATAGCAGTGCCTTCCTATTTTTGTGTGCTCTCGCACTCGCCAGATTGTTTTTCACAGTACGGGCAGAATAAAAATGTGGAGACCCTCGCTGTATACATTTTATTTAAGTTTTAAACGTGAAAACTGTTTTCATTCGATTTCATTTCGGCAACTTTTTAAAATAATTCCGTGGAACCCACCGAGACCGGGCGACGGACGGACCGCACCTCGTTTAAAGCGAGCCGTCAACTCGACACGGGGGACAACGAAAACCGACTCTCTCGAAACTGCAATCGGACGCCGATCTATTTCACTGAAAAAAATGTTCGGTTACTGCTTACACAACAAAAGTGACCACCGAACAAAGTGTCAACTATAACCAAACTAAGTCTAGCTCACTACAGAATTATTTGTTTCATTTACACAACATTTTGTTCCTCATAACCAAAGCGTTCGATGGTCGCTTGTTGTGTAACCAGTGACCAAACATTATTTTCAGTGTTCCATCGCGGGATCCGCGTCGAAATCGCGCCTCTTTTTCTGTCGTCAACAAAAGCAGCGTTTCAGTTCGGAATCGTCGTCGGCGACGTCCCCCGGGGCGCGGCGGGCGGTCAGGGCGCGGGCTCGGCGTCGGCGTGGTCGGCCACGTGCAGCGCCAGCACGGGCTGCGCGCCGAAGGGCGGGCGGTAGGCCACGCGCTGCTCGCGGAACAGCGGCGGCGGCGGCGCCACGTCCACCAGGTACACGCGGCCCAGCCCCGCGCCCAGCGCCGCCGGCAGCAGCGCCTGCACCGCCGCGCGGCAGCGCACGCCCGCAGCCTCCCAGCCCGCCTCGGGCGGCTCTGCGGGGACCGCCGCGGTTACATTATTATTATATTTTTTTAACCTCGACGAACGAGCATGGATCCAGAGGGGTGGCAGTCTAGGGGGCGAATGGAAATGCTTTGAAACGATCTGTCGGTAGGTTTTGAACACATCTCACTCAGAATAAACAGATCACAGATGACATTGAGGGTGTGGACCTTGTTTTAGAAGTGTCCCGTCATCACGGCCAAGAAAGAAATAATAGGGAAATTTATCATTACATACATAATTATTAGCGAAATCACCAAAGCTGAAGAAATCATGCTTTCGTGTATTAGTATTTTTTACTAATAAAATAAGCGACTCGGAAAAAGGGTGGTACTGACCGACGGCCACGGTGGCGGCGCGGGCGGCGCGCGCCCAGGCCAGCGCGGCGGCGGCGCCCGCGGCCGGCAGCGCCAGCAGCACCAGGTCGGGGCTGGGCAGCGCGTCCAGCGCGCCCGCCCGCACGCCGCTCAGCGCCAGCGCCGCCAGCTCCGCGTCCAGCTCGCGGCACGCGCCCTCGCCCGCCACGTGCAGCGCCACGCGCGCGCCGTGCGAGTGCAGCAGGCGCAGGCAGCGCGCGGCGGCGGCGGCGCCGGGCGCGGCGGGCGCGGCCAGCAGCGCCACCGCGGGCGTCTGGTGCGCGTTGCGCGGGTCCAGGCGCCGGCCGCCGCCCACCAGCCGCAGGCACACGTCGGCGGCGCCGCGCGCCAGCAGCGTGCGCGCGCTGTCGCCCAGCCCCAGGCGCTCCAGCCCGTCCCACAGGCGGCGGCGCAGCGCGGGCGCCACGGCCGGCACCAGCACGGCGTCGTCGGTCACGTAGTCCAGCGGCCCGCGCAGCTCGTCGGGCACGCGGATGGCGCGCCGCGCGCTCGCGCCGCCGCCGCCGCCCAGCACGTTCTCGTCGTGCCGCAGCTTGCCCGCCTGCCGGTTGCCCACGGATCGATTGTCAGTCCTCAGTTTACAAATAAGTTTTTGATATTCATGAATATCGGCCGTGCTGAGATAAAACGAGTATCGCAACTTCATTACGTAGTTGTGATCGCGTAAAGGTTGGTCATCTCTCAAATATTGACACACGCCGCGAAACATTCAGCCGGCGGGCCGGTTCCGAGCGCGGGGCTCACCTCGTCCGCCTGACGCACGAGATCCGGCTTGGAGTTCCTCATGCTCTCCCAGAGCGCGCGCTTGTCGAACAGCGCCAGGTTGCCCTCGAAGTCGAAGTCGTCGTCGATGGCGGGCGATGCGGCCTCGCCGAAGCACGCCTCGTTGCGGCGCCGCGCCTTCTCGTACGCGCCGCCGCCGCCGCCGCGCCCCTTCGGCGTCGTGCCCGAGTTGCCGTAGCTACCTGCGCAGGAAGTTTCGTGTATGGAGAAGATTTGGGTCCAAGTGTCACTTGTAATCATTTTAAGTCAGAAGGAGTAGTAAGTAATTGAGCAAAAACCTTTTGTTTTGTGCCTAGTTTTCATGAGCTTTAGGTTTTATATTTTTTTTATCAAAGTAAGTAATAGATAGCTGATGTCCATGAAAAATTTATTTAATTCAGAAAAAAAGGCCCATAGCTCAATTCTTTCAGCAATATTATCTCTAGATAAAGTTTGTGATAGTGTTAAACCAACCTGCATGGGTATTGTTCTTGTTATTATTGCGGTTCCCCTGTATCTCGATGGGCTTGCTGCGCGCCGGCGCCGGCGCCGAGCCGCCCGCGCGCGCGGCCTGCGCGCGGCTGCTGCTCGGCGCCACGCTCAGGCAGAACTGGTGCCCTGTGCCAAGTGGACTCGCATCTAAAGCTACATGATAAACTTTCAAAATGGCACCAAAGTGAAGCATATAATATTAAAGTTCCTATTAGGTAAATTCTTTTAATAAAAAGTGGACTGATTTTACAGTTACAGATGTCCCGGGACACGGTTACAAACTTGCAATTACTCAAACTAATTTAGTAAGAAGAATGTAGCACAAACATATCTAAAAATCTATATTATAATTATACCATGCAGGGTAGGAATAAAATACCTACCTGAATTTGTAGGATTAGCTTGCAAATTCTCACAAACAGTAGCTCGTTGACCTTTCTTATTATTTTTAGTGACCGCTACCGTGCTGTGGGTGGGTTCAGCAGGCTCCGGCCGCGTTTCGATGATCTTCAGGTCCCGGATGTCAGCAGCACTACACATAAATGATTATGTGCCCAACATAAAACTACACGTATCTATAAATATCTTGCGACATCCCATGCATCTGCCACAATATGAATACATACTGAATACTACAGTTTTTAAATGACACAATAAATAAAAACTAACTTACTTGAGAGTCACTTGCGCTTTGGGATAAGGAAAACCATTTCTAAATGCTTTTGTGAGGGTAATTGTGTTTCCATCTGCCTCTAAAATAGTTCCTTGATAACAACCCAGAGGCTCACCACAGTTGACAGAAACTGCGTAACCTATCCACTTCGCCATGTTTATAGTTGCATTTACGATATACTCAGACTTCTAAATATATTTAACAGCGATCTAAATAATAGAAATTCTATTTGCAAACAATTACTTAGAAATTACAGAAATACAGAATAAACGTGACTGACACTGACAGAACGAAACGAACGAATGAATGAATTAATTGTCAAAATGTGACATTATCGAACGAATGAATGGCGGAGCGGACCCGTCCACAGATATAGATAGATGCAGCATGTGAAAAAATTTGTATGAAGCCGAGCGTGCCACTTTTTAAACGTCATTAGTGTCATTTTAGCGAATTTTAGTGATTGCCGCAACGTAAAAATAATCGTAACATCGTACTGCATTCGCAAAGTCATCGAAAGATATCGTGTGACTCGGTTCGACAAATTAATTAATTCCGATAAAACTGATAATTAAACAGTACTGTACCGTTATTCGAAGCCTTTATAATGAGAGTAGTGTCTGTCTTTNATTTGTTAAATACAAAACCAAATACATCTTTATTTACCATTTTAAATAAATTAATTCTTACAAATCGTCAAATCTCGTTATTTTTTTTACCCTACCAGCGTTTCAAGACAAAAATTTGTCAAGTGCATGAATACACGGATCAGTGTGTGTCTTATTGTTATGAGTAAGTACGGTTCCTTGGGATCGGTATGAGTGCACCACATATAAGGACCATCGTTTTAACTCTTAAGAGTACATCGCAGGATATGTATTAAAAACAATGCTACTTTATACTTCTTCTACTTTATTCTAATTAATTATTTGTTGCTTGTGCTGTTAATTACAACTCTCAATCCGTAAATAATTTCTTCTTTCTACCGTGTTCGTACTACTGTCCTCGTAAAATCATCGTAACCGATTGTTGTAATCGGATTACATGAACATCACTCGACCATGTATGTCCAAATGGACATATCGGAATGGCACGCTTTGACGATCAACTTGCTGTATCTACTCTAATCCATATCTGTGGACCCGTCAAACTTGTGAGCATTTTTAATCTATGCTGTTTTTTCATTAATTTCATTATTTTTAGTCTGTGGTTAGGATTTCAGAAGGGCACTTGTGTGTACGAATTTTCCAAAAATTAAAAGAAAATCTAAGAAAACGAGAAAATTTTAAAACAGAAAATATTGATATGGTAAGTCGTTCTTTAATTTCATGTACAAGAGTACTGAGGTAATTCATTAGCAATTTTTTATGTAATTCATCTTCGATGATTTTCTTAATTTTCAACCAATTAGCTTTGCCTGACTGAAAAACTATGTAATCTCAACTAAAACTAAAGTATTCCAGTATATTTAAAATTTATGAGTGCATTAAGGTTGTATGAGTAAATTATGTGATAATTTTACAAGATAAAATAAAATTTTATTTTGTGGAATAATATTTTCTTACAATAAGAATTTGACAAGACTGTGAAAGTTTACTACAATAGGCTTATTGTTTATTTTATAATTTACTTTATTGTACTTGATTATATAATATTTAAATACTGTAAGTAATCTAAAACAAAAATGCAAGTGTAGCGAAAACTAAAAACTGTTTACCGAATAAAAATTGAGCAAAACTATTTTTGTTCTTAGATTTCAAGCTTTATTAATCTAAGTTTTTGTTCAGTAAAAAGTATAGAAGATAGTAAAATTATTAAAGGGTTGTCAATTTTCTTGTTAGATACATTGTTATTCCAATTTGAAACTGCTGTTTCTAGATTTTAGTACATACCTATTTGTTGAAAAGTTACTGGCGTTTGATAGGTTTCTGTTTAGTGTTTAGAAAGAACTTGTGATGACCCCTCATGTGTATCACCAGATTTTTATCGGTGAGGTGCATATTTCACAGCACATCCGGACCCAACTCTGGCCAAATTTTGTATGGCGGTCAGAACAGTACGGTGGTGTTTCTGCAGGTTCAGGAGTACATAAAGGAGAATGTGGTGGTCCCCGCGCCGGTGACGCCGCGCGTGCTGGCGGCGGCGCTGGCGGCGTCGCTGCTGGCGCTGGCGGGCGTGGCGCTCATCGACCTGGCGCTGCCCGAGCCGCTGCAGCGCGGCGCGCCGCCCGAGCGCTTCATCGCCGAGCTGGCGCACGAGCACCTCGTCAACCTCACGGCCATCGGCCCCCGGGTACGTCTCGCGGCGCGCGGCGAGCCGAGCGCGTGGCCCCGGCAGTAGCGGCGTAAGGGGGGGGCGGTGGGGGCGGTCCGCCCCGGGTGCCAAGCATCAGGGGGTGACACAAGTCGCGCAGATTAGTACTCACTGGCGCATCTGCATGACAAGTCTGCGGTCTATGACATAATAATACGGAGAGGGGGGGGGGGGGTTTTGCGATTGTCTCGAATCGGTAGGTAACCAAAAATTCTGGGGGTACCTTAGGACTTATGACGGGGGAGGGGGGGTGATCGCCCCGGGTGCCAACCCATGCTACGCCGCCACTGGGCCCCGGATGTAACTCGGTCGTGCTCGCAGGTGGCGGGCAGCTACGAGAACGAGGTGGCGGCCGTGCGCGTGCTGGTGGAGGCGCTCAAGGACATCGCGCGCGCCGCGTCGCCGCACAACCACGTCGAGATCGACTTGCATCGCGCCAGTGGCGCCTTTTCGCTGTCATTCTTTGATGGTAAGCGGAAGAATAATATTTTTAATTACTTATTTTTTTGCATTGTCATTTTTTTTAATGTAATACTTACTTACTCATAATATGAATAACGTGCGCAGGCATGAACAACGTGTACCGCGACGTGCAGAGCGTGGTGGCGCGCGTACGCGGCGCGGGAGGTGCGCCCGGCGCCGCGCTGCTGCTCAACTGCCACTTCGACACCGTGCCCGACAGCCCCGGTGAGTGCCGCGCCGCAGTCGTCGCCTGCAGTACAGGTGCCGCGACGTGCAGCGCGTGGTGCGCCCGGCGCCGCGCTGCTGCTCAACTGCCACTTCGACACCGTGCCCGACAGCCCCGGTGAGTGCCGCGCCGCAGTCGTCGCCTGCAGTACAGGTGCCGCGACGTGCAGCGCGTGGTGCGCCCGGCGCCGCGCTGCTGCTCAACTGCCACTTCGACACCGTGCCCGACAGCCCCGGTGAGTGCCGCGCCGCAGTCGTCGCCTGCAGTACAGGTGCCGCGACGTGCAGCGCGTGGTGCGCCCGGCGCCGCGCTGCTGCTCAACTGCCACTTCGACACCGTGCCCGACAGCCCCGGTGAGTGCCGCGCCGCAGTCGTCGCCTGCAGTACAGGTGCCGCGACGTGCAGAGTAGTATCATCATCATTTCAGCCACAGGACGTCCACAGCTATACATAGGCCTCCTCCCCCAATGACTTCCACATCGCACAGTTGGTAACGGCCTGCATCCAGCGCCTTCCTGCTACCTTTATCAGGTCGTCGGTCCACCTTGTGGGTGGACGTCACACGCTGCGTTTTCCGCTAGAGTAGTATCCATTTTGTCTAAACTGGCTGTCGTGTCGTGAGCACCCCAGACCGTTCTAGTTCCCACCCCATCGACCAGATCTTTGACAGACACGTTGGGCATCGAAGATAACTTTAAAAAACTTAAGTTAACAATAACTAATCGTCATCGCCAGGCCCCCACGGAAAAATTGCCCTAGACACGCCAATGACATTAAGCCTCAAACGCGCGTCTTCTTACAGTCGTTAAAATCTTTTCACGTGCAGATTACCAACATTAAGTAGGTATATTTCTCAGGGTCGTCCGTAACTAAATACTTATAAGACAACAATAGAATACCAGTACACGGTAATATTTTGTAAACCTAAACCACAAATAAGAAAATGGGTAAACGTCAAAAATTGTTAGTCAAATTCACTCTATACTAACAAGTGCGGCTTTATTTCCCCATTGCATGCACTGTCCCGCATTGCATTGCATTGCAGAACTGACGGCCGATGGGGCAGCAAGGTTCTGGAATGGAGGCCACGTACCGGAAAACGCAGCGTGGGACGTCCACCCACAAGGTGGACCGATGACCTGATAAAGGTAGCGGGAAGGCGCTGGATGCAGGCCGCTACCAACCGTGCGATGTGGAAGTCATTGGGGGAGGCCTATGTTCAGCAGTGGACGTCCTGTGGCTGAAATGATGATGATGATGATGATGCACTGTCCCTGTCCTGTAATAATATTACATTTTATCAGATCTATAACAAATTACCTACATGCCGTAGAATTTAGAACCAATAAAATAACAAAGTAATTATCTTCACTAAAGAAAGTCAACTTTATGCCAATATTAATAACATCACTTCCAACGTCCTTAGCTTCATGTGTTTTAGTTGTTAGCAACACCAAATTGGTTCTACTACATGATTCATTACTCTGAAATGTAGCACTGTAGGTACAATTTATTGCAACTAACATTTTGACTGTAATGTCTACATTTTTATTGCACTATTATGGCACATACTGCAATCACTTAAAGCCTGATAAAAAGCCTTGTAAAACCATGTGTAATCTACTCTGATAGGTATAATGTATTTTTCTGTCCGTCCCTTTTTGGATTAGATGACATGTTTTTCAAGGTTCTTCATAAGCCTGTAATTGACGCAACATAAGAACTACCACCCGGGGTTCTACCTGCCTCACTCGAAACTTGACTTGACTCCCTACAAATTTCTCTGTTCCATGTCCCTTATCATAGTCAATTGCGCAACATAAGAACCGCGGTCGGCACTTCGATGGGTATCATTATTTACCGATTGTTTCAATTAGGTAGTTGGTGCTCTAAAAACTATCGCCTTGATCGGCGCCGCGCGTGCTCCTCTAATTATATTAGTTCCACGTTCCATTGCTGGCGCCCGCCGGCTGCGCCCGGGCTGGCTGGCCAACATTACCATTAAAATGTCACTAAAATGCTACAATTGGAATTCAACAGAAAAATCTCCGTTCGTTCCAGGAATGATAATAAAAAAAATCATCTGATTCGTTTCCAGTTTCACGCGCGCTTTTCCCTCATAAGGCACAGCGGAAAAACAAGCCACGCCGCATGCCCTACCTCGGTTGACAACTAGGGGATGGCGGGTCGGTGACCGATTGCGTGACGCTGAGGACACCACCTTTCGAATGGGAAAAACTTGATTGCAAATGTCTATAATTCAAAATAACAGGTTATATGAGCTAAAAATACTTAATATCTACGAAGAAATGTGTTTATAAAAGTTCCGTTCGTCCCTTAACATAATACGATAACTTATTGATTCATTTATGAGCTTAAAATTAATTGATTAGCGCCAGTCGGCTGTGACCACGCACGCCACCCCCGAACGTGGCCCTAACATTAAGTTCCCCATTAAACCTACACCACAATTTTACAACGACCTTTACGATTTTAGAGTAGTTACCTACTTAGGTACGTGACTTTGTTATTTCCGAAGTGTAGGTATAATCCGAGACTCCGAGCTCAAACAAGATCAGATGCAAACGTTTACAACGGTTTCTAATAGCATTTCAGGTATACATAGAACCCTAAAAATGGTAAGGACTAAGTAGAGTTATTTTTCAGTCATTTATTGTAACCACTACAAACCCATTGTTCAAACTCTTATCGCATTTTCAATAGAATACGAGTAATAAGTATTTTACAATAGGTACATGTTGTGTACGATTGCGGTACTGGGCGGGGAGGTCACGGACGCGGCCGCGCGACGAGCCTAAATTGAAAGTTATCGCATGACACATTGACACTATGAATCTGTGGCGTGATTCGTGGTAGGCTATATACGTCGTTTAGGTCCAAACCACGGCTAAAGCTACGGTTAAGGCTTGCTATGTATCAACGTATTGTTCAGTTGCTATTGCATATGATTGCAATAGTCACACTGGTGTTTGGTGCTACGCTGCAAGGCATATTCCCGCAACTTGTTATCGTCATCATCTCAGCCATAGGACGCCCACTGCTTAACATAGGCTTCCCCCAATGTCTTCCATGTTGCCCGATTGGTAGCGGCCTGCGACCAGCGCCTTCCTGCTACCTTTACGATGTCGTCGGTCCACCTTGTTGGTGGACGTCTCACGCTGCGTTTTCCGGTACGCGGCCTCCACTCCAGAACCTTGCTGCCCCATCGGCCGTCAGATAGAACGAACGAACGACCGTCTGATCGAAGAGATCGAATCAGATACGTATCTAAACGTACTAAATTCGCTGACATAGCCCGATGGATTAGCAAGCTGAAGTGGCAATGTTCAGGGCACATAGTACGCAGAACTGACGCTCGATGGTTGTAGGCTATATACAAATAAAGGAATGAAGCTCTAAGCCTAGGAAATGTATTTTGTATTACGTGCATCGAGTACTTATCATCCATGGCTAAAACGCCTAGCCTCATCGCAATCCGCAGTCCCGCACGTACCTATGCACCCTCCGACGTATGTAGCCGCTAGTGGGAACAACTGTAATTACTTGCACTTGTCGTCCGCTGTGGGGATGGTAACACTGGGTCTATGATATTGATAATACTTAACCTTCTTTCATACATATTGTCCGGCTTTAATCAATTGCATGTTGGTCAAGACAATTAATTAACGACATTAGTTCGTTCCAGTACACGTCTGACCAAAACTCGTTGTCTTCTAAAACTACACTTCTTAACTGCATACCTATTAAGTACCTAATCATTGCTAACAAATAAACTTGGACGCTAAATAATTAATTAAAACGTTATTGACTTGAATGACTCATACTAAAGATCGTGTTCGTTCTATATTGGACATAAATGTTGTGTATTCACTGTCCTACAAACTATTCTGTTTATATCGCCAACAGAGTAGAATAATTAGAAATCAATCGGTTCTTGTACTGTAGTACCTACAAGATGAGTACTACCCCTAATAACTTATGCTTCCCTTTTAGCATTTAGTTTTAATTTAGGAGCGTTGCTGCACGTGCCTGTCATATTTTCCATCACCACTCGTATGCATTATAATGAAAACCTATTTAGGTATAATAATTTTGTCGCGGCCCTGTGATAACACAGCGCGGCCGAGCCGACGCATCGACGAATCCTACTGCACCCTACTCGTCTACGAATAGGTACTCGGATAATTTTAGCACTAAGAAAGTACCTACTTACGTAACGTGCGGTTTGCTATGATAGTCATTTAGTTTTTATGACTATCATAGCAAACCACAATTGTCAAATTTGATTATTTTATTAAACAGTTTTATTAAGTTTGCCCTGTTTATTTATTAATAATCACGAAAATGTCCCACAAGACAATTATAAAGTAAAGCACTATCATTGTTTTCGTGTTTTGTATGCCCACTTATCTGCAGATAAGCCATAGACAGCAATAGTAAAGTTAAACAGTCCATTGTGTTTAGAACGTCGTTCCACGTTATTAACGTCTGTTTGAGTACCTATCATAACCGTATAATAAAAGACCAGAAATTCCGTTACAATCGTCATTCAGTTTATCTTTTTGATAAAAACTGACGATGTGCCAAGAAGGATATTAAGGCCGAGTTCATGAGCTCTTCTTCTTCTTTGGTTTATGGCGATGAACTTGCGTTTTTTCGCCACTGAGGGCACACTATTCCGCCAATGTCACGTGCGCAGCTTTTACACAGTGGTTGAAAAGCTGCGCACCACTGTTAAAATAAGATTATTTTAACTTTGACAAACGTCAAAAATCTGTCAAACTCCATACCGGTTAATAGACAATTTGACACCATTCCTCAATAATTCGAAATCACAACTTTTCTAAAAAGACACTTCATTCTGGCCGAAAAAACTTATTTAATTTTAAATTACCTGTAAATTACGATTTTTGGTCGCATTGTAATTGAAAAAAGTAGTTTATTTGAGTTAACAAAATAGTGACGTCACTTGCTTGTAGTGCCATACAAAATCTATGGGAGAGTTTCGTTTTGCCAGTTTTAAAAAGTACGTCAATTGATTGGTGGTGTCAACATGTTTATTGTTATAGTTAGCGTTAAAGTCAGCCGGTGCAAGTCAGCCTAAGTATTTGACGTTTGAATATTCAGGCGCGAGCGACGACGGCGCGGGCTGCGCGGTGCTGCTGGAGACGCTGCGCGCGCTGGCCGCCGCGCCGCGCCCGCTGCGCCACTCCGCCGTGTTCCTGTTCAACGGCGCCGAGGAGAACATCATGCAGGCCTCGCACGCCTTCATCACGCAGCACCGGTCCGTACTCTAGCGTCCGCTGCTCTACTGACTACAAGTGCAAGATGAGCTGGTCGGTGCATGTTACGTAAACGCATTAGACCAGACCAACTTCGCAATGAGGGCTATCGTTTTAGCGCTCACCAGTTAGCGCCACTGTAGAGTAAGGTCCTGTCACTTGCTAGTAGCGAAGACAGTGGCACCAACTGGTGAGCGCGAAAATGGTAGGAGGACTATCGTATTTGCATTCATCAAGATGGCGCCACTGTAGAGTAAGGTTCTGTCAATCGCCAGGGGTGCCAACTGTTAAGTATAAAAACGATAGCCCTCATTAGCACTATATCTGATGTCCTTCCAGTTCCACTGTTAAACGATGATCTAATTAAAGGGGATCACTTGCGCGTGACGTTAATCATTCATAAACGAATAAAGGCATGCTGATAAGAATTTATGTCCATCTAGTGAGCGACCGAGATGTTCTACAAACAATAACCTGTTTATTATACAGGGTGGAATTTTGTAATGCCACCTGGAGGGAAAGTACTTTTAATAATGTAGATAGAAAATTTTACTCAAAGAAAATATTTCTTTATTTTTGGAAAGAAATAGAATAGCATTCAAAGATTTCCATAAATTTTGTTAAACTAAACCATCTAAAATTTGTTAAAAATTACACCCTGTATTTTTATTGCATCGATCGTTAGGGTCAAGTTCATGGATGAAATCTCTCTAACAAACTTGATAAATTAAATGGAAGGAAAACCATGAAATCTTAAATGATTTTAATTATTTACTAAAAATTGTATGGTATGATAGTGAATTTTCGTAAAATTTTCAAAAATCTTTGAATGGAGTTCTCTTTGTTTTCAAAAATTAAGGAACGTTTTCTTTGAGTAAAATTTTCTATCTACAATATTAAGAGTACTTTCCCTCCAGGTGGCATTACAAAATTCCACCCTGTATAGTAGTTCGAAGCAGTAAAAGTGCACGTTGTTGTCTGTAGATGGGCTAAAAGTGTGCGCGCGTTCATCAACATCGAGGCGTGCGGCGCGGGCGGGCGGGAGGTGCTGTTCCAGGCCGGCCCGCACGACCCCTGGATCGTGGAGGTGGGTCCCCAGCGCCCGCGGCGGGCTGAGGCTGAGGCCTCGAGCTTAGCGGGCAGCGGGGCGGGAGCGGCGGCGGCGCGGGAGCGGCAGGATCTTATGCGTAAAATCAAATAGACCGGTTCTCGAAAACAGCGGCGCGGGAGCGGGCAACGAGCGGGCAGCGCACTCCTTCTTTTGCCCACAATAAATCGAGCGTTAGGAATATTTGAATCGAAATAAAATTGTCGCCGTTGTTCAGACATTTCGTTTGCGAATAAAAACAAATATCTCGACAACACAACCCCGAACACAACACTTCGCCGCTAAAGCGCCGCGCGAGCTGCCCGCTTGTTTCGAGAACGGGTCTGCGTTGCCCGCCCCGCTCCCGCGCCGCCGCCGCTCCCGCCCCGCTGCCCGCTACACTCGAGGCTGAGGCTTGACGTGTCCCGACCCCGGAGTGAGCCTCACGTGTGTGCCGCAGGTGTACGCGGGCGCGGTGCCGCACCCGTTCGCGTCGTCGCTGGCGCAGGAGCTGTTCGAGAGCGGGCTGATCCCCGCGGACACGGATTTCCGCATTTTCCGCGATTTCGGTCGCCTCTCTGGTAACGTATTTAGTAGTGCAGCAGTGGCAGGAGTAGTCAAATTAAAATGAAAAATCTGTAAGAACGCATAAAAGTGTACTTTATTTATTTTAGTTTGTGACTTTTGGTTCGGAATCGACCTAAACAGAAGTCAGAAAATAAAGTTTTTATTTGTGGGACAAAAGTCTGTCAGCTATCGTTAAAAGATTTTTATTGATTTCACGGCTGAAATAATATTTTTATTACCTGCGATTCCGAAACAACGTAAATGTGCCACGTTTTTATATTTATTTATATTACCCACATGGAAAACAAACATCAATACTAAGAATTTTATAGACGACAGATATCTTTACCTTGAGCAGTTGTTATAAATACATAGCAGGTTAATATTACAATCCAAAAAATATATTAGAGAATACTTCTGTTTGACTGTCATTTCGTTTTTTGTAGATTTTTCTTGCTTGAATAAAGATTTATTTATTATTATTTAATGATAATGAATCATAATGAATGTATGAACTGTACTATGTATGTGACTTTGTTGGTGTACCTAATAAATAAATAAATAATAAAACCTGTAATTGAGGTACTAGGCACATTTTAAAATGTATTTACTGTATGTGACTTTGTCGGCGTACCTAATAATCTAAATTTTGCATGGGGGTTCCTTTTAGAAAGTAGGTAGGTTTTTACGAAACTTCACCCGTAAGAGGGTAAAACGGGAAACGCAACGGAAGTCGCGGGCGGCCGCCATATCAAAATAACTTAATAAAATTTGTTAATCGATCGCGTGCAGGTGTGGACCTGGCGTGGAGCGCCAACGGGTACGTGTACCACACGCGCCTCGACACGGCCGAGCGCGTGCCGCGCGCCGCGCTGCAGCGCACCGGCGACAACGTGCTGGCGCTCGCGCACGGTCGGTAGTTCGGTACCCAGCGAGTGTGCCCTCGCGCCCTGCACACTGACGCACACTCATCGCCGCCTCGTCCGCAGGGCTGCTGGCCAGCGAGAGCCTGGAGTCGGAGGTGGACCGCATGTCGCGCCAGCCGGTGTTCTTCGACGTGCTGGGCTGGGTGGTGGTATCGGCGCGCGCGCCGCTGGCCCTGGCGCTGGCGGCCGGCGCGCTGGCGCTTCTGTTGCTGCGGCTGCAGCTGGCGGCCGGCGCGGCCCGCGCGCAGCGTGCGTATAGTCACAAAATTTAACAGAAGGTAAACTCCATACTGAGCGCGCTCGAGCCACGCATACATAGACACCGCTCACGTACGCGTTATCAAGACTGTCTTGGACGAATGCGAGGCGCGACTGCGTTCGCTTGAGTGACGCTGCTCACGCGTTTGTGAAATTATTTTGTTTGTGCGAAAATTAATGAACAACAAAAAAGGGGTATTATAACATTTGTTAAGTAGATGGTTGCTCACACTCAACATTAAGAACTAAATTTTCGTTTTTTAAACTACCAGTTGATTCCAGGAGGTAAGAAAGGTATTTATTTGTATTTCAATAGTTCGTTTAACGTTCACAAATTGAAAGCCAACTCAATTATTAGGAAAATAGAAGTGTTTTAAAGAGGTTTTAGGAATTATTGGATAATAGTGTCAACCACTCAACTACATACTACTTCCTTCTCGTGTATTTGTTTGCAAACTATTACTATAATAACGTAACTAGATACATAATCATACGTGGATATCTGTTATTATCTTTCTTCTATAGTATTAAGAGTTACATTTTTCTATCATAACGAAATAAACGCAACACACGACAAGACAACCCTAGCGCGGCCGAGCGCAGGTATGCATAGCGAGGTACATACATGAGTTTACCTTCTGTTATATTTTGTGGTATAGTTGTGCGGTATAGGTGCGGCGGCGCGGGCTGACGGGACGCTTGTTGCAGTGTACGTGCGCGCGCGCGACTGGTGGGCGCTGGTGGCGCGGTGCTGCGGGCGCGCGCTGCTGGCGGCGGCGGGCGGCGCGGGCGCGGCGTGCGCGGTGGCGGCGGCGCTGCACGCGGCGGGCGCGCGCCTCAGCTGCTACTCGCGCGGCTGGCTGCTGGCGCCGCTCTACGCGCTGCCGGCGCTCGCCACCGCCGCGTACTTGGCGAATCGCTCGGGCGAGTGCTTCGTTTTTCCTCGTTAGATATTTTTGAGTCGCATGCTATTTTTTAATGCAACACCCGCTGACGTTTCGGGGCTTCTTGAACCCGAATCGTCCGAGCGTGATCGTTCACTTCAGATAATACAGAATCCGGCCGGAACGAAACGACGAAACGTTAACCCCCGGCGCGTTCCCCCGCAGGCGGGCGCGCGGCGTGGGAGCGCGGCTGGTGGGGCGCGCGCGCGGCGGGGGACGCGGGCGCGGCGCTGTGGGCGGCGCTGCTGCTGCTGTGCGCGCTGCTGCGGCTGCGCTCGGGCTTCGTGCCCTTCATGTGGGTGCTGCTGCCCACGCTGGCGGACCTGGCCGCGACGCTGCTGCGCGCCGGCGGTACGTGCGGGGCGGGCGGGCGGCTCGGGGCTCGGGCCCGCCCGCCCGGCTGACGCGCGCTTGTTGCAGGGCGGGCGCGCGCGTGCTGGTGGGCGGCGGGCGCGGCGCTGCCGCTGCTGCAGACGTGCTACCTGGCGCTGGGCTCGCTGGCCATGTTCGTGCCCATCATGGGCCGCGCCGGCTCCTCGCCCGTGCCGCCCGACGTGAGTGTCGCGCCGCTCCTTCCGATCGTTTCCCGAACGGTCGCCTCGAATGCGACTCCTCGGTGATACCGATCGAAATCAAATCGGGATCCCGCCGGTGTGTTCCAGGTGGCGCTGGCGACGATAGTGTCGACGCTCGTCCTGGCGGCGTGCAGCTGGATGTATCCCTTCGTGGTGGCGGCTAGAGGCGTCAAGAGAATGGTCTGTGATTTATTTATTCGTTCGCTGGGTACACCGACGGAGTGGTAAAATTATGACCCGATATTCGAATCGCTTCTCATCCGCGATCGTCGCGGTCGTGTCGGCAGGCGGCGGGCATGTGGGCGGTGACGGCGCTGACGGCGGCGCTGGTGCTGCTGACGCCGCTGGGCGCGCCCTACAGCGCCGAGCGGCCGCAGCGCTTCATGATCTTCCACGTCACCAGGACCGAGCACGGCGCCGGCGGCCCGCGCACCGACCACCTGTACTGGATGCCCGACCTCGACCCCAACACGCCCCACACGGTCGACGACGTCGGTGAGTGTCGAAGCGTCCTTCGGATTTGCGATCGCCCCGGCGACGCGAGGTTCTCGTTCCTCCTTTCGTGACGGCTCGCTCGCCCGCAGTGCCGGAGATGCGCGCGGCGCGGCCCACGCCGGCGGCGGACTGCGAGCGGCACCCGTACTGCGGCGCCGCCTACTGCCTGCCCGTGCTGGCGCTGGTGCCGCGCGCGCACTGGCTGCCCGCGCCCGCGCCGCCGCCCGACCGGCCCTACGCGCGCACCGAGCTGCACGCCACGCGCGCCCGCCTCGCGCCCGACCTCCACGAGCTGCGGCTCAACATCACCGGTGAGTCACGTCATACATCTTCCTCTCGAATCGCTCTATCTTCTGCTGAAAATCGCACGAAATCTTAGCTCGCGGACGACGGGAGCGACATCGTTTTATACCGTGTACAGATATGATTTTGCCGCGTCGTGTCCCGTCGAAATGTATCGTCAAATAAACGAGCTCCGAGCCCGGGTCCCCGCAGGGCCGAGCCACGTGGTGGTGATCGTGTCGCCGGCGGCGGGCGGGCGCGTGGTGTGGAGCAGCGCGCTGGCGCCGCTGCGCGAGGCGGCGCCGTGGGGCGCGCGCCGCACGTACTTCCTGGCGCTGCACACGGCGCGCGCCCCGCGGGAGCGGCCCTGGAGCCTGGCGCTGCACGTGCGGCTGCCGGCGGCGGCGGGCGGCGGGCCGGTGGCGGCGCTGTCGGTGGCGGGGCACGACATGGGCGGGGCGCGCGCGCCGGCGCACGAGGCGCTGCTGCGCGCGCTGCCCGCCGCGGCCGCGCCCACCGGCTGGCCCGTGCACCTGCACCTGCTGCAGCTGTAGCGAGCCGGCCGGGGCGGCGGCCGCGTCGGGATCGAACTTGGCGCCCGGCGTTTTAAACTTGTGCCGTCGGCTTTTGATGCGCGACAGGTCTCGCCGGTTCCTTCGAAAGTGTTACTCGGTTCATTTTATTTTATGTTAGGCGTTTCGCTTCCGATCGATCGCCCACAAAATCTCACCGAAGGGCAGGTGACCCGAATAATGATTCGATTGACTTTTTCCAACCGAGTTGTATCTTTAAAACGGCTGAATTCTGAAAAAGTTATTGGTCTTGTTGGCCTTAAAAAATATAGTTTTGCAATGTTTACCGAAGGGTAATGTTTTCTTTTAAATTCAGAGCCCTGACGTATTACAATTAATAACGTCTAATTAACTGACATATCAAAAATATAATGACAAAATGGATACCGCGCTACCCTTGTTATGATAGCGTAAAAACTAACTAAAATGTTCATTCATTCCTAAACACGCTAATTCTTGTAATAAATAATTTGACAATAAATCATATACCTATTTAACTGCGTAAAGCGTGGTCTGAGTTTGGCGGCTATCGCCAGTGCTCTGCAGTGGCAAACTAATAAAATAAAATATACACCAACTACCTCACAGAACTGGATTACTGACACAATAATACTTAACAACATTTTTCTACCACTTTTGAAAAGTTTTTTCATATTAAAATAAATATTATAATTTAATTTACCGCTCTTTATTCATAAATCTAATGTATTGGCCAGTGCACGAGCGGGCGAGGGTCGCGTCATTCTTTCGTTATGGATAAACAAAAATATAGACTTACAAACGTCACGATAGTAGGTGTACAATAAAATCTTATAAAAACATTATATTTTGTTTAAGTTAAAGCTCGTAGAACAATGTTGTTATGATTCCTGCGAGGTTGGGTGTTCTAAAAATAATCCTGTACTTATGTATGTAGGTATAGTATTATTCTTTTATCTCGAAATCGATGTAGGGAAACAATAATTCAGGGTAGTGTAAAACCGCTTAATGGTCATCACGTCTGTCTAATTTCAACAAAAAATATTACTTTTATGGCTTTTTACGCCAACTTGTCCTTAAATATCCCTAAATGATTATGATCTTTGCGTCTAGTTTAATATTCTCTTATCTATTAGAAAATAAAATGATAAATGTAACTATGATCACTCACAGATATTTTTGTAAATGCAATAAATAGTTTTGAACGCATAAACATGATCATAATCAAAACCTTCAACCAAATTTTATATACCAACATTGGAGCAATAAAGAATTTGAATTTGAAATTATTCAGAACAGTTGACGGTTAAAAACATTGCGCTTCACGTTTAAAATATTCTGACGTGCGGCCTCAAACGTAACCAAAGGTTTCTGCTTTGTGATGTTTATCGTTCAATATACCTCGAATCCTAGATCATGCAATATGTTTATAGTAGGTAGGTAGTAAAACTCATAATTAAATAACAATTCGTCCTTTAAGCATGTTCAGTCGTTGAACAAAAACCTTTTTTTTTTTAAGAAAATTGAATAAGTAATAATAAATTACGAGTTAACGTAGTAAGTACACTCTCGCTTCATTGTAATGTTGCGTTCCTCGCGAGGCGTGCGTGCGGCCAGCGCGCGGCCGTCAGTGCCATGTCTCGAGGACCTTCCGTCATATTATTATTTATTAGGATAAGAAAATTGAGAGGCTTACTCTAGTGGCGGTGTTATAGATATTTTATTGCATATTCATAAAATAGTGTAACCCGTTGTCCTAGGTGAACGAAAACGCGGCAACGCGACGAGATGTCATACATTACGTAACGTGTATTTATGTTGCAGTCTAAACTCGTAATCGGTCAAAACCACTTTTGACTGCAAAAATCAATCGAGTGGTTTTGACTGATGCTATTTGCCCTGGTTTTGACCGACATATTGACAGGGGACGCCACCATCGTTTCCAAGGTGGCAAAAATCGGAACCAGCGATCCGGTATTGATGGTGGCGCCTGCCCCCCTGTCAGTGTCACTGGTGGGACTGTTAGGTGTAGTTTATATCTACAGGGTGGAATTTTGAAATGCCACCTGGAGGCAAAGTACTCTTAATACTGTAGATAGACCGTTATTTTTGAAAAGAAAGAAAACTGCATTCAAAGATTTTTTTTTTCGAAAATTCACTACCATACTATACAATTTTCTGTAACATGATTAAAATAATTTAAGATTTCATGGTTTTCCTTTCATTTGATTTATCAAGTATGTTAGAGAGATTTCATCCTTGTACTTAACTCTTAACGATCGATGTAATAAAAATACAGGGTGTAATTTTTACCAGATTTTATTTGGTTTGATTCCCGGGTGTGGTAAGCAAATTTTTTTTTAAATCTTTGAATGCAGTTCTATTTCTTTTAAAAAATAATTGAATATTTTCTTTGAGATATTTTTTTCTTTCTACAATATTAAGAGTACTTTCCCTCCATGTGGCATTACAAAATTCCACCCTGTATAGGTAACGATTCTGAAACGTCAAGTGGCTAAAATCAGAACTAATAACCCAGTATTGACAATGCAGCGATGTCGTAGCTGGGACCGTTTAGTGTTGTTGATTATCTACTTATTATTATATTAGTCGCATTCCACCGCGTCACGTCATCATTGCATGTCGTGTTCCGTCGCTCACCTAAGACGACGGGTAAACCAGTGCCCCGATTACACTAATTTTTAACGTCTCCAATACAGACGCGCTTATTCGATTCTGCGATACGGATTTGTCAAAACAGCTGACGTCCGGGCACGTTGAAGATGAAATTTTTTAGCGTAATCGGGGCCCTGTATCTAAAACCTGACTAGAAAGAAATGTTGTTTTTATAATTTAGTTATAGTGGGATAAACTTCATCAAATAAAAATGATTGATTCTAGTGTTCAAATGCAACACGTTCTCCCAATGCAATGGATCGAAGTTAAAAATACCTTTTTAAAATCACCATCAGCAGAAATCAGTCATTCGGTATGGAGAAGTATCTTTTTTTAAATAATGTAATATTGGTCCTGTAGTAAAAGTTGTTATGTTTGAGTAGTAGATTCAACCATTTTTGTTTGATCAACTATAAAAAATTACCTTATATTAAGTCATAATGTTTATTCTATGTAGGTAAGGTACCAAGAATTTTATTTGTTTTGTTTTTTTTTTTACATCCCTTGATGTATTGATATTATATTTTAGGCTATAACATCGACGATGTTCTACTGGTAAGCCTGGTAAATGAATGAATAGCTAGACAAATTATTTTAATGAATATTATATTTTTAAGAGACTAGTTAATCATAGAGGCCTAGTTGGCGAGTAGTGAATTGACTTGGATTGTGCTGTCGGCTGTCGCGGGGCCTTTTGGCCTCGAGAACAACGTTAATTTACTGTGATCATAGTTTATATGCTTTTTGTTATTAAAAAACGTTATCAATTGAATCGCTTGTTATCATTAGTCATCCTACCACACCTGCCGATCTTGTCGCGACAAGGAAAAAATTTCCGTGCTTTTAAGCGATTTTGTGAAAAATACTATTGGCAGGTAGTTGCTAATTGCTCATAAGATAGGCCCCCTTAATTTTTATTTATTGTCCGTGGTGCATAATCTTTTCTTAAAGGTTTTAAACCTTTTTTTTGTCACCTGTCATCCGCTTTGCAATGGAGGGAAATCGAACCTTAATTTCGAACTCCTCCTATGTTCTTCTGATTAATTTCGTTGCGGGTCCAATGACAGTTTAACTTTCCCCCGGGACAAACTTGACCTTCATTGGTTGGGTTTTTGTGGCGGTCAAGCTGTAGATCCTGGTTACACAGGAGTTGCAGTGGTGGGAACGAGAGGTGGGAATAGTCCCGTGTATCCTACCACACCACAGGTAAGTCTGGCAAGTATTAAAACACAAAAGTAACATCCAAGTTTATTGGTAATAATAGATCGTGGCTATAACACTGAGCTGGCTGCGGGCCGCGCCCTCAGCCGACGCGGGACTTGTCTACCGAGGGCTCAGTGTGAGTTTACATCAAACGTCGTCACTAGTGAGCGCGTTTCAAAAATCTATAAAGACTTTAGTTCTTGAAAGTATCCGCTGGGGTCGCTGTACAATCCGTCACACTATGGAGCGAAATTGCGATTTATGGACATAGCGATTTTTTTCACAATTTCTATTTGAAAAAAATACCTATCGATAGGTTACGTTATTCTGATGAATAAATGCTGCACAAGTTTTTCTCTAAAACCAATAGTTTGACTGGAAAAAAATATTTTTCATTTTCGTTGTATGGAATGAAACATAAAGTGGTCGATTTCGACTAAGCCTTGACAGATCTTGCTTTGAAACTACTTGAGCCTTGTTCTATGGCTTGTTGACTGTAATCCTACGCTATCAGCGCGTATCCAAAGTTGCCCGTTCACAAGTTATGAGGTTCTGAAAAATTTAAAAAAAGTAAGTAAAAGTGACTTTTTTTTGGAATATCTTTTAAGATTTAACAAAAATATAAAGATTTTATACGTTAATAATGTAAATTAACCTTAAATTACTGCTAAAAACACATTTTAGTAAACTTAAAAGGAATTAAATCAGCGATTTTTTTTCACAATTTCTGTTTTAAAAAAATACCTGTCGATAGGGTATGTTATTCTGATGAATAAATATTATGAACGTTTTTCTCTAAAACCAATACTTTGGCTGGAAAAAAATATTTTCCATTTTCGTTGTATGGAATAAAACATAAAGTGGTCGATTTCGACTAAGCCTTGACAGATTTGCTTTGAAACTACTTGAGCCTTGTTCTATGGCTTGTTGACTATAATCCTAGACTAACAGCGCGCGCACAAAGTTGCCCATTCAGAAGTTATGAGGTTCTGAAAAATTAAAAAAAAGTAAGTAAAAGTGACTTTTTTTTGGAATACCTTTAAAGATTTAACAAAAATATAAAGATTTTATACGTTAATAATGTAAATTAACCTTAAATTACTGCTAAAAACACATTTTACTAAACTTAAAAAGAATTAAATCAGCGATTTTTTNGTGCGTCATAGATTTAATTGCATTTTTTTACGCAGTCACTAGTGAAGACGTCTGATGTAAACTCACACTAAGCCCACTGGAGAAATAAATACACACTAACGGGACCGCCTTCCACGCGCTTACAAGGAATATATTTACAGAGAATCCGCGGGACACTCGAGCTCTTATTGTCAGGTCGCCGCCGCCCGCGGAGCACTAGCGTAGTCTTTGGATGCACGAGTCCGGCCGCGCTGCGAACTAACTCGTCGGCGAGGATTCTCGCCGGTTATTTACAAACTACTAGTCTATTATAAATTTTATAATAATCTTTGATTTCAAACTTTTTTTTTAACAAAATACTGAATACTTTATTGGCTTCGAACATAATCTTCGAGCTTATCGTAGGTACACATGCAGAATTCTATACAAACACACTATTGCTATTGCTTTATACAAGAGAAAACTATACAGGTGTTGAGAGCCTCGCTCACGACATTCATACTTGCACGCCGACCGGGAGCCGGGGCTCGCGCGGCGCCCGACGGCTCCACACGAGCTACCCAGCGTCAATGTACCGATATTATACTGGCTTGCCTAGACTATTACTTCATGTGTCAGATTTTATTCTCAGGACTGCATATTAAACGGATATTTTGAAATCCTGGCTTCCCGGACGACGAGCTCTCTCGAAATTACTTATCAATAACGACGGAATGAACTAAATACAGATCTCTCGCGCAATACTATATCACACCTCGCTAATTCATACATAGATACGAGAACCTACCTACTGTGTAGCGCACGTTAAACTATTCAATGCTTCCGTGTGAACACTTCACTCACACACCAGACTCCTCGCCTTTGACAGCCGAAACCGAAATAACTTGAGGCGAATACAAATCTCCCCGCTTCGTTGACGCATAGAGCGGGGCCGCGCGGTGGAATGTCGCTCGGGCGGTTTACGCCCAGATCTGAAAAAAAATTTTTTTTTCATTAAACTTCTCTGGCAGTAAAGAAATCAAGAAAGGGCGAAAGGACCGAACACTAGTGTTGCCAAGAAATCTATTATCAATCAATGAGCTACGAAATCGAACCAAACGCCTTTACACTATCGATTATGCGGCAAAACCGTACCGGTCGCCGGTCATCGAGGTTTAAAATGAAAGAAAATCGCGTCCCCGTAACTCACCCGCAGCGTGGCGTCCCAGGAGGCGGTGGCCAGCGCGGTGCCGTCGTGCGCCAGCTGCACGCGCGTCACGCGGTGCTCGTGCCCGCACAGCACGCACACGCGCGCCGCCCGCAGCGCGTCCCACGCGCACGCCGTGTAGTCGCTGTAGCCCGCGAACAGCAGCCGCCCCGACACCGACCAGTCCACCGAGTTCACGCCGAAGATGATGCTCTCCTTGCTGTAGCGCGCCACCTGCGACAACGGGCACGGTCATGGCGCGGTCGTCGCACGTCGAGGGCGCTCGGGGCGCGGCGCTCACCTCGCGGTCGGCGCGCAGGTCGAACAGGCGGCAGCAGGAGTCGTCGGAGCCGGACGCCAGCGAGTCGCCGGACGGGTGGTAGCGCACGCTGTTGACGTCGGAGTCGTGCGTGTCGAAGGCCTGCACGGCGGCGCCGGTGCGCAGGTCCCACACCAGCACGGCGCGGTCGCAGCCGCCCGACACGAACGTGTCGCCCATGTCCGACGGCGCCAGGTCCAGCGACATCACGTCGGCCGCGTGCGCCTGCAACAGTCGGGCGCCGGTCAGTCGCGCGCCGAGCGAGGCGCCGCCGGAGCGTCGCGAGTGCCGCGCCGACCTGGAAGCTCTGCAGCAGCTGGCCGGACTCCACGTCCCACAGCGCGCAGGTGCCGTCGCCGCTGCCCGTGAGGATCTGGCGGTCGGTGTTGGGGAACACGCAGCAGGACATGTAGGACGTGTGCGTGGCCACGGTGCGCTTGCGCGCGGCCGGCTCCTCGTCGCCCGCGCCGCCCAGCGGGAACACCGTCACCTTGTTGTCCAGCCCGCTGAGGGTCCATAAAATAGGGTATTTGACACCACCGATCGACTGACACACTTTTTAACCCGGCGTCAATGACGCTGGGTCATATTGACCCGAAGCATTTTCAAACGTTCATAATTTTTTTTTGCGTCCATTTTGTGGTTCGATCGTTCGTATAGCTGGAGATAGAACCTCCCTTAATCCATTCCGTTAGTTAACGTATTGTGACTCCGCTTGCGTAGCGAGATACACAGGCTTCAAATTAAAACGGGTCATTATGACCCGGCGTCATCGGTGGCGCGGTGATTTTGTGACTTACTTTTATTCGCTTATTTTGTGTTTAGTGCTAGCTTATGTTGTTCTTTTTTAAGTTTTAGTCAAAATGTCTTTGTTAAATGACCTAGCAAGAATGTAGCGTTGCTGGAAGAGTCGGATTCCGAGATTAAATAATTTCAGGCTGTAATAGCCAGAACTTAGAAATGGCAACGAAAGTGAAAAAGGCGCAAGTAATGGGGACTCAGTCTGGGGATAATCTCGACCTTGCATTAGTACGACGCCGGCAAGTGCGTCATGCCACATTTACATGCCCAGACCATTTGATTACATACTGCACCAGTTGCAGCAGTTCCATGGCTCTGAATGATGAAGTAGAAGACTGATCTCATTGTATCTGCATATAAAAGTTGATTTTATCTCTTTTTCACTATATAACATTGTTGATTCCTATTAATACTAAAAATCTTTACCAAAAACAAAAAATATAGACTCAAATGTGTTTCTATACATGATTTTTTCATGTTTTGTTTAAAAATTCATAAAAAAATATTTTATTTCATGTATTCGTTTTATTTTTGTTTTATTAGCTCAGTAAAGAACCCTATATACATAGACAGTAATTAAAATTAAGATGACTTGTACAATTTCCTGAAAAATGATCGATGAAATGTGGGTCAATATGACCCGGGGTCATCGTCTTTGCAATTATTTTCACGTCATTGGCGCCGGGTTAAAACTGTCAAAACCATTCCCATAGATTTTATACGGCAATACTAGCCAGTGATGTCATTTTGCCAACTCGAACTACTTTTTTCGATCACAATGCAACCAAAAATCTTAATTTTGATTAAGTTTTTAAGAGCAGAATGAAGTGAACTCACCCAGCAGCCACCATGTTGCCGGAGGGCGCGTAGGCGCAGGCCATGACCCAGGTGCTGGGCATGGCGATGGTGAGCTCCTTGGTGGCCGTGAACGCATCCCACACTATCACCTTGCCATCCTGGGGCACCATTCAAAATGACAAAGGAAATTTTAGTCTGGACAGATAAAAATATTAGCATGTACCTACTTCAAATGAGTCTTATCAAATTAATTCCACCAAAAAAAATATTAAAAAGTGTATGTCATGACTACCTGTGAAGATGAAACGATGTGCCGTTTATCTGGTGACCAGTCGGAGCACAGGACTTTGGCCTGGTGGCCCTTGAGCACACGCCGCAGTTTTAGATTTGGAAAGTTGATTTGCTCCAGTCGCTCTGCCACGCAAGAAACTGCACAAACCATGTGCCATGTTTAATACACAAGTCAGCATAAAAAGAGATGATTGGGAAGATATTTTTATAAAACTTTCTGCTGGATTAACTCAGTTCAGAAAAGAAAATTAGTACATCCTATCCATATTTTTATTAAGAAACTAGCTGACCCGGCAAACTTTGTTCCGCCTTAATGGCAATAAATAAGCACTTTTTTTTTAATTTCGAACGGGATAAAAAGTATCCTATGTCCTTCTCCTGGCTCTGAACTACCTCCCTGGCAATTTTCAGCTAAATCGGTTCAGCCGTTCTTGAGTTATAAGTGGAGTAACTAACACGACTTTCTTTTATATATATAGATAATAAAAAGGCAGGAACAAATTATTGGTGTCTAGGAGTATCCATTACAGTATTATTGTGCAAGTTCAGTATTGGCGTTTATAGATAGAGAGAAAGGAAGCTCAATGCAAAAGCAACAGAGTATAGTATTGTGTTACTACTGCTGTTAATCAAGGAAGCAATTTGTGAGTTCATGCCTAACATGTTATCAAAATTACGAAACTATTCATATAAGGTATGTCAGCGGAAGTTAAAGCTGTTCCTGAAAAGGTATGTCAGCGGAAGCCCCATATCGAGGTACTTACGAGTAACATCGTTGAGCTTCTGGCGCTCCTCTTCCAGTTTCTGTTTGAGGGCTTCCGCCTCTCGCAGCAGCGACTCCAGGGTCTCCTCGGGGGTGGGCGCCACGGCCGTGTCCGCCGCCATCGCGCCTCGCGAGCTCCCGACCTCCACAACACACCCAACTTCTGCCTACCACCGCATTCTATACGGCTTTCATAACCCCTCCGCCACTTAGCATCTTACAAGGCCTCTGTCAGACAACAACGTAAACTCACTTATCCTTCTAATTTACCATGGAGTCACAAAAATATTTCGATAACTGGAAAAAGACAGACATGGAAATTTGTGAAGAAGAATCGATAACACTTGCCCCGAGCACGTCAATTTCATCACAGATTAAAAATGTTAACTTCACTTCCTTCAATGCCATAGATTAAAAATGCATCTGTCAGTCAGAAAAAAGACCCAATAAGCTATAGGTCTACCAGAATCTCATGGCAAACAAAAATATTGGAAAAGTGTGACTTTCATATTGCAACTGTCCATGGCTTTGTTGTCATAAATAAAAATTAATATCTTAGGCAGTATCAAGATTAATTCCAATTTTGGGGAAATTATATTGTATTGCACTCAACAAAGTTTATTTTCTTTTTTGAAAATTATAAACAAAGGACATCATCCATTTTGGTCCAAAATCAAAAGTGCCGGCCAAAAAATAAAAGTTCTGTATTCTGATAGAATACGTCCGCCTTAGCATTTATTACTATGGCACCAAAGCTGTAGCACCACTGTGCATCGTGGTAAGTATTTGAGCTCTAAAAATATATGAAACGACTGACTTTGATCTCAAATACTACGATGCACAGTGGTGCTACAGCTTTGGTGCCATAGTAACAAATGCTAAGGCGGACGTATTCTGTCAGAAGACAGCACTTTTTGTTATTGGCCGACACTTTGATTTTGAACAAAAAATGTATGAATCGTCGATGAATTTTAGATCTCAAATACTCGACGCATAGTGGTGCTACAGCTTTGGTGCCATAGTAACAAATGCTAAGGCGGACGTATTCTGTCAGAAGACAGCACTTTTTGTTATTGGCCGACACTTTTGATTTTGAACAAAAATGTATGAATCGTCGATGAATTTTAGATCTCAAATACTCGACGCATAGTGGTGCTACAGCTTTGGTGCCATAGTAACAAATGCTAAGGCGGACGTATTCTGTCAGAAGACAGCACTTTTTGTTATTGGCCGACACTTTTGATTTTGAACAAAAATGTATGAATCGTCGATGAATTTTAGATCTCAAATACTCGACGCATAGTGGTGCTACAGCTTTGGTGCCATAGTAACAAATGCTAAGGCGGACGTATTCTGTCAGAACACAGCACTTTTTTTTTTATTGGCCGACACTTGATTTTGAACAAAAAATTTATGAATAAAATCGATGACTTTTAGATCTCAAATACTCGACGCACAGTGGAGCTACGGCTTTGGTGCCATAGTAACAAATGCTAAGGCAGACGTATTCTGTCAGAATACAGCACTTTTTTTTGTTGGCCGGCACTTTTGATTTTGGACCAAAAATATTATGAAACGTGGATGATGTCCTTTTATTTTCCCCATTTGCCATGGGATGCTTGGTGTTTCTTTACAAGATCGAATTAGAAATGAGGAGATCCGTAAACAAACTAAAGTTGCTGACATAGCTGGACAGATTAGCAAGCTGAAGTGAAGTGGCAATGGGCAGGGCACATAGTACGCACGCAGAACTGACGGCCGATGGGGCAGCAAGGTTCTAAAGTGGAGGCCGCGTACCGGGAAACGCAGCGTGGGACGTCCACCCACAACACAAGGTGAACCAACGACATCATAAAGGTAGCAGGACCCAAGCCGCTGACAACCGGGCAACATAGAAAGCACTGGGAGAGGCCTATGTTCAGCACGTCCTATGTATAGTTCCAAAATACTGAACTGTCCTATGCATGACATTGACAGTGGGGCGCCACCATCAATACCGAATCGCCTGGTTCCGATTTTTGCCATGTTGGAAACCATATAGCTGAACGATGGTAGCGCCCCCCTGTCATTGAGTTTGGTGGGACAGTTCAGTGGGTCTAGACAAAGTGCAAATTATAATCGCAAACCAGTCGAAAAGTGGTCGAAAAGCCCCTTTTTTGTATGGAGTTTTGACGGATTCGATTTTCGATTCGATCAAAAAGTGCGTTTTGTCTAGGGGGCCAGCTTGGGTCATCTATATGATGAGTGCTACTGACAAAGCCACTCTTGTGGGGGAGTTTTGGGCTGACACTGTGTAGGTTTGTTGTGGATTCGAAAAGAAGAAGAAGCACGTCCTATGGCTGAGATGATGATGATTTGCCATGAGATTCTGGTACACCTATATCATTAACACAGATATGATCATTTGGCTACGGAACCTTAAAAACACACTCGAATTGAGAACCTCCTCCTTTTTTGAAGTCGTTTAAAAAAAATTTTCAGCCAAAGCTATGAGCCAAAGCCATGGTTTGTAGCATGAAGCTAAAGATAAAAATGGAGGCCAGACTTAGAATACCTACTTGAAGCACAACCTATGTATCACTATCTCGCTCTCTGTGGGCAGGCTCTCTCTTTCTAAGTAGGGTAACCTTTTATATATTTTTCTCAGGACGACAAAGACTGATTTACGTTTAAACAGTGTGTCTTGATAAAGTGCACTTAATATGATTATGAAAAAAGGTTTTCGATGTTTTTGTTTTAAGATGAATTACAACATTAAGAAAGTGTAAAGGCATCGAAAACTGTGGATATTTGATAGAAAACAGATTTTAATTTGGCAGTTGACAGACGGATTTGGATATGGATTGATTACAGTAAACGGCCGTAGAAAACATTATGCAAAATGAGATAAGTAAGGTCCCACAGAAAGTCCCAGATATATCCTCAATATGGTCATACTACTTCAAAATGTCTTATAGAAACAAAAATTTTAAATTTGCTCAAAGTCAATGAAACTCAATGTAAAATCTTCTTTTTCTTGACATATGTAACATTTAATAATAAGTTTAAATACTGGTAAAACGTTTTAGGAAGTAATTACTGTGAAAATACAAAGAAATATGTTAACAATGATCCACTGTCAGAAATCACGAAATAAACACTTACGCGTGGAATTTTATATCACTTCCAGGACAACACGAACTACCGCAACCACGCACTATACAATTTTGCACCATTTCTTCAGACAAAACAATGATAAGGTCCCTTGAAAAATCTCAAACGAAATCAACTGCATAGTAAACAACCGCCATGATGGGCCGGATTCGGCCGATGTTGCCACATTACCGATACCTCAGAAATTGGGATTGTAATTCCCTGATTCGCCAACACATTAAGCCTAAATGGCCGACAATTTTGTGATTTTTTATTTAACTAGGTAATCTAAGTTTCAAATATTAATTATTTATTTATTTAACTTCTTATTTGGTTAGTGAATTGGCTATTTCGAAGAATTTACAAGGAGATTTAAATAAGAAGATAGCAATACTACAGTTCACACTAAAAAGAGAGGTAGGGCCACAGAGAGCGAGATAGATATAAGTAGGTATTTGACTCAAGTTTTGTTCCCAACTTTGCCCTCCATTTTTATCTGTAGCTTCATGGTTTGTAGGTATGATTGGTCCATATATTTACAACTCAATGGAAACATTATGTTTCGACTTTTATTATACATAACAGTTTTTTTATGGACCGCAACTATCATAGACAATAGAATGAATGTTTGACAGCTGTTTGTGAAACGGCTGTCAATAGTGTCAATGTCTGGTTAAAAATCGGTTACTTTTCGACTTTACGATCGTGTCGTGTTACGATATAACTTCATAAAAGAAAAGGACTGAAATTACTGAATTTAGTGACATATTAGCAACGATGAACAGTCCCCTTCATGTAGAAGTGGTACAGAAGAGACAAAGTCGGTCGAGTAAAGATTTCATCAAAGGCATAGTGCACTCTTATTTATCTAGTTTTGCATGCTTGACTCCCGGTGCAATCATAACCGCCAACGATTTAGAAGAGAATTTAGAGCTCAGGGAACATGTCCAGTCAATCGCTTTCTGTGATCTAGATCACGACTCCGAAATACAAATGACCAGCACGGAGCTCGTTTACCATGTCTACAAACTCGACAACTTCGGTGCCGAGACGGACACGATGACCGACACAGCCTCCGGCGATGAGCTCGCTGCCGCCGACGTGTGGGCTCTGCCCTCCGAGGAGTTCCACGGTCTCTGGGAGAGCCTCGTCTACGACTCGAAGTTAAAGGAAGACACTCTAAGGTTCGCCGAGACCGCGTTCGAGTTTGCAGACCGCGGTGTAGACTCCACCGTCGTCGGGTGCAACCGCGTGCTTCTGCTGCACGGGCCGCCCGGCACCGGCAAGACGAGCCTGTGCCGCGCGCTCGCTCAGAAGCTCGCCATCCGCCTCGGAGACCGCTTCCCGCGCGCGCGCCTGCTAGAGATCAACGCGCACGGGCTGTTCTCCAAGTGGTTCTCGGAGAGCGGCAAGCTGGTGGCGCGCCTGTTCGACCGCGTGCGCGACATCGTCGAGGACCGGCGCCTGCTCGCCTGCGTGCTCGTGGACGAGGTGGAGTCGCTGGCGCACGCGCGCCGCGCCGCGCTGGCCGGGCTCGAGCCGTCCGACTCCATCCGCGCCGTCAACGCCATCCTCACGCAGCTGGACCGGCTGCGGCGCCACCCCAACGCGCTCGTGCTCGCCACGTCCAACGTGACCGGCGCCATCGACGCCGCCTTCATCGACCGCGCCGACGTGAAGCGGCGCGTGGGGCCGCCGTCGGCGCGCGCCGCGTACGAGATCCTGCGCGGCTGCTGCGGCGAGCTGATGGCGCGCGCGGTGGTGGCGCCGCGCGAGCAGCTGTTCGCGCTGCGCGTGCTGGAGGGCTCGCGCTTCGCGGAGAGCGAGACGTCGCGCGTGAGCCTGCGGCTGTGGGCGGTGGCGCGCGAGGCGGGCGCGGCGGCGGCGTCGGCGCGCGCGCTGCGCCGGCTGCCGCTGCTGGCGCGCGCGCTGCACACGCGGGCCCCGCCGGCGCCGGCGCCCACGCTGCCGCGGTTCGTGGAGGCGCTGCACGCCGCGCTGCGCCAGCACCTGCGCGACGCCGCCGACCTGGACGACGAGCCCCCGCCCGCCGCGCTCGAGACGTAACCTTTGTGGCGCTGGATGTCGTTTATTATGCTTTGTGATACTATTCTATAGGGGAAAAGTGTAGGTTTGTAAGCTCAGATTGCTAAACTTTAGATTGATAATATCTCCTGGTTGACATTAGAATGTGTATTTAAGCGAAAATATAACAATGACAGAGAAGTCAAAAAGTATTTTTATATTATTCAATTATTACATTGTTTTAAATATGTATGAGGTTTTTCATTCGGTTGATAATCCTATAATAATATGGGTACCACTCCCAGTTTATTTGTTATTGCTTGGTAGTTGTTACTCATCAAGTAGCTGTATTATGGTTTGAATAATTTTATTGCTGGCTTTCCAAATAAACAAACGTGGACATTAAAAATAGGAGAAAATAAAAGAAATCGAGCTCGATTCAAACATTACATTTATTATTATCACAACAACGATTCACAATCGGCCGAGCGTCCGTCCATCGTCACCGGCCGATGACCCACAGCAGGTTGAGGCCGGCGGGCCCGAGGTGCAGGCGGCGCAGCGCGGGCGGCTCGCGCGCGCCGCACAGCGCCACGAACACCAGCAGGCAGTGCAGCAGGTTGTTGCGGCCCGCGCCCACCTCCACCGTCTCCTCGCCGTGCACCAGCACGAAGTGCGGCGGCGCGCGCGCGGCGCGGTGCAGGGCCAGCGCGCGCGGGCCCCGCGGCGGCGGCGCGGGCGCGGCCGACACGTGCCGCGCGCTGAACCCGCCCGCGCCGCTCGCCTCGCGCGGCAGCTGCGCGTCCAGGTACGCGGCCAGCGCGTGCAGCAGCAGCTCGGCGTCGGCCGGCCGCGCCTCGTCCCAGCCCGCGCCGCCGCCGCTCCACCTGTACGCGCTCAGGCAGCCGCCCGCCGCCAGCTCTGCGGGAGGCGTGATCGTTTCGATCGTGAAAAGGAAAAATCATCATACGAAGCGTTTCATGTCGCGGAGAGTACCTCTGTAGCGCTGCACCACGTACTGCTGGTCGGGGAAGGGCTCGAGGAAGGGCAGCAGCGGCGCCAGCGCCGGGAACGCGCCCGCCAGCTTGCGCAGCCGCTCCGTGCTCACCTGTCGAACGTGCGAGCGTTTCAGGTGCACCGAAAAGAAGGAACGAATGACGAAATATAGTTAAATGTAGATGGAGAATCAAAAGATACGTGAATAAAATGTGTCGCAGGTGTAGCACGGCAGCGTCTCACCTGCCCCATGCGCACGTCGGACAGCCCGTGCGCGGCGAAGGCGGCGTCCAGCGCGTCCAGCTCGCGCGCCACGCGCACCAGCACCGTCGCGTGCAGCCACTGCGCCGAGATCGTTCGATTTATACATTAGCAGATTTAAAAAAATGTCACGTGACACTACAGAGCGCTGGCTCACCACCCGGAGGTTGAGGTTGAACTGCGTGAGACGCTGCGGGTCCAGCTGCAGGCGCCGCCACGCCGCCGGGCCCGCGCCCGCCTCCGCGCGCTCCTCCGGCGAGCCGCCGTCTGCCGACAACGAGCGTTGTTAACCGACATCGAGTCACCGCCGCGAGGGGCGTCCGGTGTGTCGCGTGAAGCCGCACGGACCTGTCTCGACGGCCGCGAGCTGGTACACGGGCGAGGCGGCGGCGGCGGGCCCCGGCGCGCCCCAGCCCGGCTCCGCGCCCTCCGCGCGGCCTCGGTCTGCCCGGCTCCTGAAATGTATAAAGTGAGGGTCGGTCGGAAAATAAAAATCCATCACTCGAAACGTATCGTAATTATTTTTTAGATGAATGTGTATCGCAAAATAAAAGTCAAAGTCACCTGAGGTAGTCCGCGAGGGAGCGACGATCCGCGATGAACTCGTCTCGCTCGTGCCGGCCGAGCGGCGACGCCGGGCTCGAGGGCGCGCCGGCGGAGTGCGGCGTGTGCGGGGAGGGCGGCGAGGGCGGCGGCGACGAGCGCCACGCGCGCCCCGCCGACATGGACAGCGACAGCGACAGCGCCTCGGCCGCCATCTCCTCCGCCGCCGACGCGTCGGTGTCGGCGAGCGACGTGTCCGCGGCGGGCCCCGGGCGGCGGGCGGCGGCGGGCGCGGCGCGGGCGAGGCGGCGCGCGCGGGCCAGCGCGGCGGCGTGCTGCAGCAGGTTGGCGGCCGCCACGCCCGCCACGCACAGCTCCGCGTAGTGCAGCAGCGACGTGTAGCCCGCGCACTTGCCCCATCTGCTCCGCACGCATTATGCGTAAAAACCGTGCACTGACTAATGCTTTGAAAATAAAACATCTCCACCTGACCGTCCACATTTCCAATTTACAAAAATTTACCCCTATTTCCTGGGTCATCGATCACATGTGAACGGCAGGACTGATTTCACTAATACTTTCTTTGAAAGAACAAATTAAAAAATTGTGCAAAAAATTAGAAAATTAAAAAATACCATCACTAACAATTATTTCTCCTAGCGCTTTCGATAATTTAAACTTTTATAATGTAACCTTATGGTGTTTGAGATAACATAGAATGCATGCCGCAAATATCAAATATCAATAATATAATATTGTCACCCTGTGTTTTTGGTAAATAAACATTTGGAATTTGAATATCGTTGATTGCAAATTCAGGAAAATTCCACTACATCCCGACCATCTGGCAAACCTAATTGGAGCTTGGAGCCCAAGACAAAAAAGCAATGTCTATCAAGTTCTCCCAGCTCTATCCAAGGCATCAGAGACAATGTTTTCCATTGATTGTGTGTAACAAAGATTAAATGATGAAGAGAATCATTAATATTATAGATTCAGCTTAGTAAAGCATAATTATGTAAAGCAGCTTAGTAAAAATGATAGAGGAGGCTTTTACCCAAGTGGGGCCACAATCAAGAGAAATACTTAATTAATTTTAAATAAAACTGTAATAACTGTGGATTTATAAAGCTATAATAAAGCATAATTATTATTATTATTCAGTAAATTAGTAACTCAACTCAACATGGAAAGCATTGGGGGAGGCCTATGTTCAGCAGTGGACGTCCTATGGCTGAAGCTGAAATGATGATGAAATTAGTAACTTACAAATCATAGGCGAAAACAAGAAGAACCAAGCCGTTGATCGCGATCCATTTCATAGAACTAGCTCTTTTCTTATTAGCATAATTTAGGTCAATTGTTCGTCTCAAAAGTTCAGAATTTGGGCTGTAAGACCTGTAAACAATTTTAGTTGAGGTTAGGTTCACTATAATTTATGATAAATTAAATATTTTAAATAAGATATTTACATTTTGGCATCGAGAAATCACACTTAAATTGCTGAATAAAATAATTCACCGCAAACCGCTTACCGCGGTCACCGACAGAGTTATTTTATTAAATAAAATACCCGAAACCGAGCAACAACAAACATCACAAACATCAACTCATGTCAGTTGACTTTTTTTTTCATAGAAGTTTTACGGCTTTGGATCACAGCTTTGGATATAGCCAGTCATAGAGCTGAGAAGTTGGTCCATCGATCAACTGTCAGAAAAAGTTGGGGCGAAAGGAATATCCATGCATAGGGCGACTACATGGTTAAAAAAAACACGGCACACCTCTATTAAATCGTCTATGGTATGGAAGGCGCCATCTTCTTTTTTGTCTTCGTTCGTCGCCATTGTCTTGAAAGTCGATGACTTCATTCTTCATCTGCTTGTTCATTGATCAAGAAAACGGAGCTGCGTATTGCAGCTCTTGAGTTATTTAATTTTAGAGTGATTCAGTGTCCAGTCGTAACCATGGGACAAGAAATGTTTCTATCGTTAGCCCTTCTATTTTTAACCAGCGGGGCCCTCACAAATGCTCAAAGTAAGTGGATTTTATCATTCTTTAAATTCCATCATTTAATTCTTTGTTCAAGACCATCAAAATTCTATGTAACATAATAATAAAATACCTGAAATTTTCTAAGTGCTGGTGGTTGATCGATCACTTCTTGACCTGATAGACAATTTGCTGAAGGTCCCACCTAGTTTATAATTTTTTGAGGATAATCAAATTGTTCAGTAATTTAATTGTATTAGTCATTCATCCTATGTACTAAATATGACTGTTTTTGTTACTTAATCCAGGTAGAAAAAATACTGATTTGACTGGTTTTTATGAAATTTTGAGGAGCAACAAATATATTATTTAGCTTTTGCCCGCGGCTTCACCCGCGAGAAATTTAGTTTGTCACAGATCGTCATAAATTATAGCCTATTATGTTTTTCTGGGTTTTAAAGAATAATCTGTAAAGTTTCATCAAAATCTGTTCAATCCGTGAAAAAGTAACAAGTTTGAGTGTGTCACTCCGCTACTCACGCATTGTCGAATAGGTTTTTGGGGCCCTGTGTGTCCACTTGCACTGTGAGACCTCATAGTAATGTTTGCGTATATGGGTGTAAAACAATTAGTATTAACTACAGATACAGACAGGATAACAGAACATTATTCACCATTGGCATTTACATACTACGGCTTTATAACTTAAAAATAAACAGGATGGATGGATTAACACATAATTATTCTGTTTGTCTGCTCCACTGTTGACTGAGTAAACATTGCTATCTGACTAGCATGTACATTATGTGTATGGGATACTGGCATTACTAATAATTTGCTTTCTTATATGATTACACTAATGTGTGGTAATGTGAAACAATAATATTAAATTACAGTAATGGAGTCAATTAGTAAAATAGTGTTTGTTCGAAATGTTTTTTTAATTCTTTATTGAGTCCTCTAATACCCAAATTCAGATGTTCTACAATATCTTTGGCCCAATCAATCAAATGTAATATAAGAAGTTGTTTGTGAGATAAGACTGTTGTTAAGTAGGTAATAGGGACATTAAGTTCTTAATTTGTCTAGACTTAATATTTATTGTAAATAACAATATTTCTTTGCAATTCGGTAATTTAAAATTATCCATATTACACTTTGCACCACATTTACGTCGCAGCTAGCACAATCAACATGCGTCAATCAAGTTAAAAATGAGCCGGTTATACAGATAACATATTATGATTATAACCCCGTTAGAAGGTTGCATGTTTGGCATTCGGCCTTGATAAAAATAGGTAATAATTTTTCCATCAAAAACATCAACATTCTCAAAATCGCCGCTCTCGCATCTTCAACCCGGTCCCGGTGACTCGCTCGAGCCCACCCTCGACCCGCCTCGGAGCGCTCGGGGAGGCGGGGCCGAGACTGAGGGCCGCGGGCGTCCCCCGCAGGCTCCGCGGCCGAGACGCTGGTGGCGGTGCGCGCGGGCGCGCCGCTGGCCGTGGAGTGCCCGCTGCGCGTGGAGCAGCGCGCCGAGTGGCGGCTCGACGGCGGCGAGGTGCCGCGCGACATGCGGCCGGCGCCCGACGCGCCCGCGGGCGAGGGCCGCCTGCTGGCGCGCCTGCTGGCGCCCGCGGCGCGCGCGCAGCACGCCGGCGTGTACACCTGCAGCCGCGAGCGCGACGCGCGCCGCGTGCGCGTGGCCGTCGCCGGCGCCGCCCCGAGCGCGCCGCCGCCGCCGCCGCCGCCCGGCCCCGGTACCGCCCGTAGCCGTAGCCCGCGCCCCGCGCCCCGCGCCCCACGGGGGCCTCGAGTATCTTCCCAGTGACTGCTAACTTTCGCTTTTTTGGTTTCTACAGCCTGTAGTTCGCCTTGAGATTCGCGTTGTATGTATCAGTAGCTAGGAGTTGTTTAGAATCAGTACGGCGTTGTGGTTTTGGTGCGTTAAGTTCGATTCCGTTTGTGAGCCTGCGTAGAGTAGAGTGCTGCGGACGGGCCCGAGGGCGCGCGGGCGCCGCAGCGAGGGCGACCGTATTGATTGTGTTGTTGCGACGCTCGAGAAGTCGTCTCATGTCATGCACTTTCCGCATTATGACACGCCGTGCGGCCTGTAGCGTAGCGAGTAGAGAGCACATTACGTGATATGTAGTAGGTAGCTATGCGCACTTATCGTTTATCATTTGGTTTCGTTATCGTATATGTGTATAATAATATACTTTGGTTTGAAGTATGTATGTTGTAAGCAGTGGTATTTGTTACATTTAATGGTATAATAAACATCACGACATGTATCATATTGTTTCATGTCCTATTAGAAACTGTTTATTTCCAGTTTTTTTTTGTTTAGTTTAGTTACAGACTTGGGCAGAAATTCATGCATTGTTAACCTATTTATCTTTTCTTTTATAACGTAGAAAATAATATGTTGTTTGAAATATTATGTAGTATCTTTTCTTTTCATACAAATGCGTTTATCGATCGACAATATTGCTCTTGGGACTCGAGTATGTGGGTCGACCGGCTTAACATTATTCGCCATTTATTATTATCTTCCTGTTTAACGCTGCTACTATCATTGGACTAATTTGATAAATTGATGAAGAGCGCGCCAACTGACTGAATAATGCCGAATGAAATTTACACCAACACTGGGCAAGCGCGCCGGTGTTCGTGTAGTGTAGTGGTGTATGGTAGCGGTGGCCCGGCGTGCCGTGATCACGTGCCGCGTGCGTGTTGCAGGCGAGGGCGAGGCGCGCGGCTTCGCGGAGCTGGAGCCGGCCGTGGTGTACTACGACATCAACCGCAACATCACGCTCAACTGCACCTTCCCCAACGCCGACAAGACGCTCACCTACCTGTGGTCAGTATTCACTAGGCCTCCGCTGTTACATCACACCAAACATTACATTTTATCATTACAATTACTTCTGTCGTGCATTTGATAAAATACCCTGCATAATGTGCATAACATGCAATAATTTTTGATTTTGTTAGTTACTTTTAGTTGTTTAGTAGTTGGAAGGCAAACAAAATGTGTCTTAATACCAATCGAATAACTAGTTATTAACGGAACATTGTCCTCTTGAGTACCAATAGTATTTTGCCCTCGTATGTGTAATTTGACTATGCCGACAAAGTTTCAGATTACATTCAATAATTCTCTTCGACGTATAACGACTAGGACCACCCTCGATAACGGTCAACGATCCTTTTCCTTTTAGTAATTGCAATATCTGGCGAAACCATAGCACGTATTGAATTACCGATAAATCCAGTAGCCAGGCAGTAACCTAACCTTGTATTTTGCATTCATCATTACAAGTTATTACAACCAATTATTACATATGCAGGGACTGCGCTACGACTACTATAATTGTAACGAGGCCGGCCTACGCTATGTCGTTGAAGGCAATTTACTTACCTCTCGTAGGTTGGATTACATTTAAGCGTTGTTAGGAATATTTTTTATGGTATCAAGACTTAAGTTCTCTCAACTACGTGAATTATTTCACGTAAATTTTGTTTTATTTAGACTAGTAGACGCGATAACTTAATTATTTAATACGTTGTTTGTTCACGTAAAATAATCGTTATCGCGCATCAGTATCAAAACTGGAGGTCGTTACGCGAGATCCGAGACGATAAGATTGCGGCATTGACGCACCGCGCGCGCGCGCTCCGTCGCGGGCCGCGGCGTGACGTCAGAGGAGTAACGCTCCGTCGCGTGTTGCAGGAAGAAGAACGACAAGGCGATCAACGAGGTGCCCGAGCTGAAGGAGCGCTTCAAGCTGGAGGAGAACAACGCGGTGTTCTCCGTCAAGGGCCGCGCCAACGAGGACGACTACGGCAACTACTCGTGCGCGCTCGGCGGCGAGGCGCGCGCCTGGGAGCTGCGCGGCCGGCCCGTGGCGCGCCTGCCCGACAACACCAACGTCGTCGAGGGCCAGAAGCTCAAGCTGCAGTGCAAGGTCACCTCTTCGCTTTCCTCGCGTCGCACTCTTAGTCCAGTCAATGAATGCTTTAACGGTGTAGAGAGAAATCCGTGGAACACAATTTCTGACCTCGGGACTTTATTTAGACTAGTTAGGAGGTACAGACCTTCTAGAGCAGATGCCGCGAAAACTATACAAGATATAGAGAAACTTAACTATCTCACCTGATGTATTTAAATCTATTGTCATCAATTTTAAAAATATTTTACGTAATTTAACTTTTAGGTACACAATCGGTACCGGTACCGTACCGTACCATAATCGGTCGCGGGTTCGATTCCCACTTTAGGCGGTTCGATTTTATCAAGTTATTTAAAAAATAATCGGTACCGACAAATTCAAAGTCTCGAGCTCCTTAAAATAACACTACACGTGGTGGCGGTTGCAGGTGGTGGGCAAGCCGTACCCGCGCGTGACGTGGACGTACCGCCTGACCGAGGAGAGCAACGAGACGGTGCCGCTGGGCGAGGCGGAGGGCGGCGAGGGGGGCGAGGCGGCGCGCTGGCGGCTGGAGCCCAACGAGCAGGGCGTGGAGGGCGCGGCGCTGGTGCTGGAGGCGGCGGCGCGCGCGGACGCGGGCGTGTACGAGTGCCGCGCGGGCGCCGGCGCGCCCGACCACACCGTGCTGCGCGTCAAGGACATGTACGCGGCGCTGTGGCCCTTCCTGGGCATCTGCGCCGAGGTGTTCGTGCTGTGCGCCATCATCCTGGTGTACGAGAAGCGCCGCACCAAGCCCGAGCTGGACGACTCCGACACCGACAACCACGACCAGTGAGTGCTCGCGCTTCCGTCGACCCGCTCCGCTCGCCGCTCGCCGGCGACCGAGCCGTCGGCGTCGATCGGTCCCGCGCCCGGGCCCGACCGAGCGGCGGCCAGGTTTGGAGCTCTTTCTAACGATTCCGAATTCACGTTTCAGGAAGAAGTCGTAAGCGCGCGCGTCGGCGGGCGGCGGACGGCGGCCCCGCGGCGCGGTCGTCCGAAATATTCGTATTTATGTTTTTTTTTACCAAAAAGTTATGATTTATATTATATTTTTGACGAGTTCTTGACGAGATTGTGATAGTTTTCGCTGACGATGGTCCGATCGAGACGTTCGGTCCGGCCGATTAGGAAGCGCGCCTTCGAGTCCGCGCCGCTGCGGACTCGCGAAGGGAGGCGGGAGCTCCGGTGTAAGCTTATAGTTTGTCCTGGAATGTTTAGACTTAATTGCAATATTAGAATAGAACGATGTCGTCAAGAACTTGGAAATCGTTCAATTTTACAGGAATTGTGGTTGTATTTGCCAAAAGACATGTAACCGTATGCATCTATCAGAAATGTAAAAAGAGATACTGCTTACTGAAAATTATACTATTGCTTTCGTGAGAATTAAGCGTCATAAATAAGCATAGCCATTGTCAGATAGATCGATAAGTTCTCGTTTTAGTTTCAAGATTAAGTTTTTCTCTTGGCAATACTATCAACTGTTTCTGTTGTTAATGAATTTATTGTGATCGTTATAATCGATAGGATTATGTACAATTTTTAATGATATACAATTTAGTTAATTCTATCGTTATTTTCGCGTCGTATTAAGGTATAAATGAAATAGTAACGGACCGTTAAACATGTGAAAGTACTAATAAGTAGGTGCTGCAACGAGTGCTCGCGGCGGATTAATATTTACTTAATATAAAGCTATCTAACTCACCGTGTTTGTTGGAAATTAATAAATTATTATGTTAGAAATGGTTTTTCAATTTATTCAAGAACCCACCTGATCCCTATCCCTATCTATAATAATAATTACATCAAATAGCTAATAGAAAACAGTCAATATTGCAGTTTTCACTTACTAAGGCTCTTAATGCGGTGGAGACCGGAGCGGAAGTCACGTGGACAGATTAGTGTAATGTACACTAAAATTTTCATAAATTTTGTGCTTTAGAGAGTCGAGAGTATAGCTGATAATTTAGTCTTATCGTGAGCACAAAGTCCACTAATAGCAAAATTCGTTCAAATAGGTAGTTTTAAACAGATTTTGCTGGGGTAACGTTTCAAACATTACCCTGGCAATTTTTAAAGTTATACAGTACTTATTATTATTCTGTGGTTATACCGAAACCAAATACATGAATAGATAGCTTTTGTTGCTTATGCCGAGCGCGAAGCAAACACTGCCGTACCATCCTTTACTGGAACCATTTCGCCGCATTTTCGGGCCCCTATTTGAGAACCTCTAAGACCAGAACGCAGAAATTTTCGTCATCATTGCTTAAATAATTGGAAAAAGGCGTAAGCGGCAGTTTCGCCTTTATACGTAGGAGCCATCGAAATGGCGTGGCTTTGCGCAATATGTTTCAAGAAATTTAATTTAAAACACTCGTGACCGAATACGCAATTCCCATAAAACAAGAGAACATGACATAACTATGGACAATTTAAAATATTCCTTGAATAAGCTATCCTATTTATCCCACCAAAAACATTCTGTAAAAAACTAGCCAAGTCTCGATGGAGCTGCTTGTTTATCTCTAAAAAGTAATGAAATCTAGACAAAGTCGTGCCAAGTCTATGGTTCCTTACTGCGATTTCTTTATTATTATAGTTAATGTTGTGTGACTTGGCCGTTGAAGGGTACAAAACCAGGTGCTCCATGATGCCATTGCACCAATCTGTCGCCAGAACCGCTACCCATTGACGATGGAAAATTGTCACTTGGAAAACGTTGATTNCATGTAATTATTTTAATTGTTATCATGTGCTATATCAATAATAAATCAGTTAGAAAAAGTCGTTTAATGTACCGTTTTACGTTTTAACGCAAATACGCCCATATACTGTGCTCGAGATTTAGTTAGGTCTTTTAACATAATGTGTCATATTTTTAAAAAATATAAATAACTTGAAAAAATCGAATTGCCTAAGGCGGGAATTGAACCCACGATGCCTTAGGCAGTTCGATTTTTTCAAGTTATTTAAAATTTTCAAATTAGTTTGAGATGCGACTCTTAACGCTAAAAATTAAATAACTATATAATGTGTCATAATTTATAAATAAAACAATTTGCTAAATATTTTCATGGCTTTATTTAAGATTTGGATTATAAAAAATATATGTTTATGTAAGCAACTACTCGTATAGATTGACGAATCGTATGATTGGGCTTTATACGTGGCGTAGTTTTGCACATACGCCTATTTGCCTAAAATTTTATTTTGTATCTAATGGAAAAAAAAAATTTTTTTCTTACTGATGTTATAGATTAGAGCAAAGTGAAATCATTGCTTAAATAATTGGAAAAAGGCGTAAGCGGCAGTTTCGCCCTTATACGTAGGAGCCATCGATAACTAACTTCTTATGAGTGGAGTTAGTTAACCCCTGTTATACCCATTTGGAGGTGAAGTTTTGTAAAATCCATTCTTAGCGGATGTCTACACCGTATAAGGAACATACCTGCCAAATGTTAAGTTTGTAGGTGTTAACCTAGGCGCAGAACACTGATTTTAGTCGGCTGATAATTTAGTGAAAGTGCGTTACATTACACCGATTTGGCATCAGCCGATTTTTCATTCAAATTTATATCGGGCACAACAGACTATCAGCCAACTGAAAATCGGTGGTCTGCGCCTAGGCTTATAGTTTCTAAGATATAGATATGACACATACTAATATTGTTTCCCTCCATACTATTTTGGCATACTTTTAACTTTTTAAGTTGTTGCTTTGTTAGGGACCAGGTTTGGCTAGCATATGTGAGGCAGGGTAGTAGGTATACAGGCATCAAATACTTTCCTTTTGTGGAACATCTTTAGGTTCCCGTTTTTCATTACCTCTGCTAGTGACCAGTATCTCTTTAGAATTAGCAGGGCCATTATGGCCACAAATGGCTAGAAACAGATAAGCATGGAGATCATTGGAGGAGGCCTATGTCCAAGGACAAACTGGAGATGAGTGCTGCTAAATTGTAAAATAAAATGGTTAATTAATGTTGTAAAATAATTATTAATATTGTAATATTATTAATATTGTTTCCAGGGGGCATGCAAGCAGCAGGCGCCGTGGTGGCGGCCGCGGCCGCGCCGCCCGCACCGCCCGCGCCCGCGCCGCCGCCTCAAAACAAAGAGTTCAACACGGCTTCTTTGTGCAAGTATGTACATACGACAGCACATCAGGTTACCCATTTTGTGTTGCAAATTCGCCCTTATTACAACTGCACAAGAACCTGCAGAGGTTACCTTGACCATGCTGTCGTCTGTACAAATATTATTATGAGTACTGCTTTATCTTTGTAATCTTCTCTTGTAAACATTGTAACTAAACTTTAAAGCTGCTATTGGGGTTGACCCCATCAGGGCATAGCTGGTTTGAACCAGCAATGCCCTGATTAAACTATTCTGGATTTAAATATCCAAGATAAATATCGCTCGTATTCACAAATGGTGCTTGCTTAAGTGAAGCAGCGAATCGAACGCATAGCATTGAATAGACCTCTGTGATTGGATCACGCGCACTGTGAGATCTCATAGTAATGTTTGTGAATATGGGCGTAAGTATCAGCATAATGGATGTATAACATATAATTTGAGCTTAGACAAGGATTAGTAAAAGTAACTTTTTCTTTCTCCTCATTTCAGATTTGGCCAAGAGACAGTTCAAGATATTGTAAGCAGAACCCAAGATGTCTTCCAAACCTTGAAAGCCATTCAAGTAAGTTCAGAAATTGATACCTTTTAATTGCCTCTAGTGGTTTATACATTAAGTGTTGCTAGAAAGTTTCAAAACACTGTAAAAGTGTTACGCTAGTACATTCGGCTAGTGTGTAATAATATAAATAACAACAATCAATGTTCAGTTAAAAAAAAATGTTCATTTAAATTTTTAGCCACCCAATGGGACTCAGCACGGTGAAAATGCTAGCAATGATAAAAAAGCCAAGATGCAGGAACAGCTACGTACTATCAGGCTTCTATTCAAGCGGTTACGACTTATTTACGAGAAGTGTAATGAGACTTGCCAGGTAAGAAAATGTTACTTTCTAATTTACGTATTATGTATTATGTTAACTGTATTATGTTAACATTGATATCAATGAAGTGATACAATGTCTCTTAACACTTATAACCTGGGCGTCTGTAAGATTTCGATAGAAAACTATTTCCTGAACAACATTCCTGTTAAAATCTTGATAGAAGCTGCCCTTTCATCATCATCATCATCATTTCAGCCATAGGACGTCCACTGCTGAATATAGGCCTCCCCCAATGCTTTCCATGTTGATCGATTGGTAGCGGCTTGCGTCCAGCGCTTCCCTGCTACCTTTACGATGTCGTCGGTCCACCTTGTAGGTGGACGTCTCACGCTGCGTTTTCCGGTACGCGGTCTCCATTCCAGAACCTTGCTGCCCCATCGGCCGTCAGTTCTGCGTACTATGTGCCCTGCCCATTGCCACTTCAGCTTGCTAATCCGTCGGGCTATGTCAGCGACTTTAGTTCGTTTACGGATCTCCTTATTTCTGATTCGATCTCGCAAAGAAACACCGAGCATAGCCCTCTCCATAGCACGCTGTGCAACTTTGAGCCTCTGTATAAGGCCTATAGTGAGAGGCCACGTTTCCGAGCCATAAGTTATCACTGGTAACACACATTGGTTGTAGACTTTCGTCTTCAGGCACTGCGGTATTTTGGACGAAAAGATGTTGCGTAGTTTCCCGAACGCTGCCCTTTATATTTGTTTAATATCTTTCCTATGCTATGGAGCTAATCAACTTGTGTACTTCAGGGAATGGAGTATACTCACATGGAAAGTCTGATACCATTGAAAGATGAAGCTGAAAACAAAACTCTGGATGAGAGGAGGAACACCGAATCCTACAGGCTCGCGCTGGAAGAAAACAGAGAGCTGACTGAGCAGGTAAAATAAAATACCTTTTTTGTACACACCGAATTAGGCTTGGTTCACACAGCGATAATCGGGCGGTTGCTGGGCAGTTCTCGTACATTTGCATCAAACCGTTACGGCATGGTTACCACTTCAGGACCTCGCCAATGAAGACTACGTGTCGTGTCTGAATCAGGCCTTAGTTCTGCATCTTTCGGTAATTTGATACCTCAAACAATTTTCAGAGTATCGACACATTCATGTTCAGTTCTATCGATGGTTGTATGTTCTATAATACTTCATTGATTGTTTTGTAATTATCAAGGATAGGTTGTAGATACTATTGAATTTGCTTCCATTTTTGATAAACTTTCAAAAGCCAATGATAGGTTGTGGTTACGAATTTCGTGAATTACAAATTCGTGAATCGTATAATTGTGTACGATCTTTCGTTAAAAAGTGATAGATTTGCCTAGCTTAGGGCTAGATTAATAAATTGGTGGCAATGCAGGTCATGATTGTATTATACCTATTAATGTCGGAGAGTTGTGTGAAAGTTTATTATCAAAATGCAACTTTTCAGGTGGTGCTGAAGAATAAACAGTTAAAAGAAGTGATAACTAATCTACGGACAATAATATGGGAGATCAATGTAATGTTGACTATGCGAAGATCGTAAATTAGTGATAGTGTTATATTTAGTGACATTTTATGATAAAACTTGAAGTCATCTGGCAATTTTTGTTGCCTTTTTTCTAAAATGGCGGCTCTGCATGTCAATATCAGTGGTTTAATAACATTGTTTTATTATTTATTTTCCCTATAAATCTGTAATCTTTGTCTACGTTAATTAAAAATCTTATGTTCCATTCATCATCCACTTTCTGTTGTTAACGTGAATAGGTATTATTTGTAAATAAACTTTAATATTAAGAGTATATTCGTGTAGTTTTTTTTATTACTCCTCGGATAATATAGAGCTATTATTATTTTATACAATTTACATACAAATTCTTCACAAAAGATTCATGATCATTTTAGTTTTCAAAGAAGATTAGTTATGGTTGGAAATGATTGTTATTGTTATTAGCCAGATTTAATCATACTAGTTTGCATCTAGGACCTTGAATGTAGGTGAATAGATCATTTATTAGCATTATCTAAGGTTGGGTTCAAATAAATACACACACATTATTATAAATAAATTATTTACTTAAACATATTACGTAAACGGTCTTTAAAGTTTTGTTAAATAAATAAGCTTCAAAACTCTAAGAGTATTGTGTAGTAAAGCGAAATGGCAAGCTCTTTCGTTGAGTATTTGTGAACTATCTCCAAATCTACTTAGCAATACGATTTACGTATTTTCGGATCTGTCTGGTACACTCGCACGTGCTAGTATTTTAATACGAGTGAGAGGGATGAATAGACAAGAAAATACGGACATAGTTTGCAGAGTAGACCCCTGAGACGGATTAGCCGCTTAATTCAAGCTCGTTGACGTACCGAGTCAATCACTTAGTACAGTACAATAACTTCTTATTTGGAAGAAGAAGAACCTATAACTCGCGCAGTTATGAATGGGTCGCGACTGATATACATAAAGGTGTCTAAGAAAATAGTGCAGTATTTCTGTACATGCATATTTTTGCTATACGTAGACATTTAACTTGTAGAAAGTCAAAATTTATATAACTGTCGATTTTTTATATACCCTGTAAAATTCAAGTATATTCAAGACGCATTAAGAAATACGCGGGTTGTACAAGTACATAAAAGATCAAGAAAGCACTCAAACAAACTCCTTGCCTGAATCAAGCGGCTACACCGTCTCTTAACACTATCTTATCAATAAGTACAGTAACATTACAAGTAAGGTACGATCTATCTACGTTCAACAGGTTTTGGGACATCTGCAGTCGCCTTCTTTTTCTTCTCTAGGATTTTCTTCTCGTATGGGCGACGGTCGATGATGTCTGATGGTTCTGGGATGTCCTGGGATTTCTCTGGCTGTGGGTCTTCGTTGCTGGGTTCTTCTGGAGCTGGTTGGTCGCCTTGGGGTTGCTCAGGGATCTCTGGGGAGGCCTCCAGCTGTTTGCCGGCGCTACGCCCAGCGGGTAAAGCGTGGAAGGCCTCAGCTAGATCAGGGTTTATTTCTTCAAGAGGAGTGTCTCCAGCTCTGATGTAGACCGGCACGTAGCCTGGCACTGGCGGAAGGAACTGCCATTTCGGTCGGGCTTCTGTAAGAGAAAGAAATTATTGAATATTAGGAGTGGGAACATTAGATGACTTTGTACGAATAGTTTGCATATGAGACAATTAAAATCTTGGATTTGGACTTATTGGACTCGTAAGTCTAGTGTGAATTGTGGTTTGAAGTAATTGTGGTCAGTTAAGATGAAGGTCTCAGGAGTTCAGGACCGGTCGTTGTGAAAATCCATAAGGGAGCCCTTTAACAGCAGTGGACGTCTTGGTTGAAGAGAAAAAGGTCAGTGGCTAAAGGTCGCGCCAATTTATTAATTGCAATTGTCTGTAATAACAGGACTACTATTTTCTTTTATCTCCCTACTTTCAAGCTTTATTCTTTTCCTATAATGGAGTCAGGGCCATTAGATTAACTGTATGAAGTTCAAAATAGCCAGTATTATCGCATTTGAACTCCTATCTGGGACCAGTTAATTTAATTGCCGGTTTATCTTACGTCGCCAGACCAGCATAGTTGCTTGCAATTTTCTCATCTATGCGACAGAAAAAGGCGACCCCTCCGATAGAAGTTTCCATTGCAATCTGACCATTATGTGTAGTGTGTTAAGGTCACAACGGGCTCGTGTATAGATAAGTGAGGCGTTCGCTCCATGCGGATGGTGCATGCGCAAACGCATCATAAATTTGCTAATGCCTAGATAATGGATAGGCCCGGTCGGCTGTAAAGTTTTCCTAGTCAGGTCGTTAAACTTATTCTGGATGGTTATACTCCCGGCTAGTCGTACAGGTTACCGTGATTGCGTGCCAAGAGGAGAGACAGTTCATTATAATAGTCTGTACCTATGTATGACATAATTGACATAACGAGTTAGGATTCAAAGTGAGCTACCTGCTAATTCGAAGATCCGCTTGTTTTCATCCTTCATCACTATTGAATAAATACTATCTTATCCTGCTAACATTTTGTAAATGTCATAATAAGTTTAGATTAGGTCCTGAACGGATTTTAATAAAATATTACCGTATTATTACAAAAAGTTATACTTAGATCTGAGTTTAAAGGCGGTTAAGTATCGGATGAAAATTAAAAAAAATTGCACCTGAGCACGCGCTTGATGTCTCGGGTGTTTGGTTTGTTAAAAGACTTGTTTTTGTTTTAAGTATGTTAGATGATTAACATCTATCATTTAATAACTTAATCTTATTTTCGTGCAAGTCTACAAAATAATACTGATTGACATTACGTGCAGTCGAAGATAAGGAACATTACAGCTTGGAGTCATTGCTTTTTTAAAAGTAATTAAGATATTAATTTACAAGATAATGAAGGTGGACGAAGGCTGTAAAAACTTAATAAAAGTTTATCTAGACAAGTAGGTAATTACTTACAATGCATACGAAATTGAGATATGCATCTTTACGTTTTTCTTTAATTTTAATTTGTATGATAATTTTAATACGTATAATGATGAAACAGATTGGTATTTAAAGTAGATTACCTACGTGATTTGATCTATTTATTTCAAAGAATATAGTCTTTATATTTTTGAGTTTACTTACTTGTGGGTCGGCTTTACATTGGTATAGTTTTTGTGATCATTTTAATATGTCTACGCGTGACTCTACATAAGTATTGTGAGGTCAACGTTCTCGCGATTGTTTGCTGTTCGCAAATAATTATGATACTAACGAATCTTTTTGTGTTTTTATTCAACCATTTTGTAGGAATTGAACCAACGTATTTATATTTACTTACAATAAATTTGCGTACCCAACAAAAGCACATACGGACAACGCTTTCGCCTAACGGTCACCATCCACTTGAAGGCTAACTTTTTGCTTGTCAAAATGCTAACTGTACCTGAACCTCATCTTGCAACTGACTTTGAACTCACATGCACACCGAATAGGTGCCACAATGGATTGGGCGCTAGAGGCATCATCTCCGTCGGTCGTTAATTTTATCGTCGCCCTAGATTGATGACCGAATGTCGGCGAAACGGTATTTTATTATCGATGCGAGACTGCAGTTAGACTGTTTACCCGACTTTAGAAAATGAAATAATATACATAACATGTTAGACATATTGGGCAGGTGAAATCTGGTTAGCGTTTACCTATCAGACTAAAATAGCAGACAGTAACTTTCGGTTTCGATTTCAATTAAGTAACAATCGATGTCAATTAATTCAACCCGCATGTAACTTCCAGATTTCACCCAATTTACTACTTTTAAGAAAGTTTTGTCATCTATTACGGGACTATTCCCGAGGTGGGAATTACAATTTGAAAGGTGGGTCTTTCCCACCGCTGCAACTCCTAGCTGTGTAGCCAGGATCTACAGCTTGACTGCCAATAAAAACCCAACCAGTGAAGGTGAAGTTTGTCCCGGGGGAAAGTTTAACTGTCATTGGACCCGCTATGAAATTAATCATTGTCATTTGTAATCTACATATTTGAAAAAAATAAACAAATACACCTGAACAAGAGACTTATTTGCCTGAGCCTCATTACCATAAAAGGCAGCCCAGTACAGCAATGTAACCATGTTAATTATTTTCATTTTTGCGGTCATTAAATTCTAAAAGAAAGAAGGAAAAAATGATTCCAATAAAGTTTTCCTGACGAAGTTTCTTATCATTTCTGCATAATTATAATATTAACTTTGAGTAGGTACATGCATTGTAGATAATATTTCTTCATTGAACGAATAAGACTAATAATTTATTACTATCTCAATGCTATCAGTACGTTCAATGGACCAAAAATAGCGGGTGTAAGTACGCAGTTATGGACTTATGTTTAAGTGGACATGATCTCCGTAACCGGGTTATCAGTTGCGGAAAATTGGCTTATGTTAATGAGCTAATAAAAATATTTTCAGTGGAATAACCACATATAGAACTTAGAATAATTAAATACACTATACCGCAATGAAAAAGGTAGTTAGAAAATCTTCTTATCTACATAAGTACCTGACCTACCTTTATGAAAGAAAAGCCAGGTCAGGTAGGTACTTATGAAGATAACAAGATTTTGAAATACTGGAAAAACTACCCTACTAGTTAGTACTATAGTTAAACAATGGCAAGCAAACCTTTGTTTACTCGAACTCTACCACAGTCGTTTTCAGTTTATTATCCCCAATTATGTGTTAAACTACCCTCATTGCTTTAAGAGAGTTACCAATTTGTAGAGTCGCGTTTAGCGATTGTTATGATGTTGTTGCCGTTTTCTAAAACAGCAAGTTCTTTATATCTTTAATGAAATAAGAAGGAACTTTTTGAATATTAATGAAATAGGTTTTTCAGTTTTATTGAGAGATAAACCATACCTATAGTTATTTTCATGTTTTTCTTAAAAGTTTGGGTTAAGTAGTCACACTTTTTAAATATTTTGTCGCGTCTGATGAAACTTTCCTGCCATTTTTCTCAGTCAACGTTTATCTAGAATTTCTGGTATTTGACCAAGCAGAGCTAGAGTCTAGATCTCTGATTACGCGAAAATGATGGCAAGACCAGTCTGCTGTGAATACTAAATTCCCTGGAAAGTAGGACACTATTTCACTAGGTAAATTAAAACTAGTCTGCAATCTACATAAATGGGAATATCTAGTAACGCGGTACATTCTAGAAAATGTGTTTTCTGCATTTGGAACTTCCGTTAGACACCTGTTTTTAAGAGCTGGTATGAACTTTCCTGCAATGCATCAGCTATTTTATTAATGAGAAACTATCGGAATATGTAAGTTTTTTGCGTGTTGGTAAATAAATATGCGATAAAATTATAATTAACTAGTTGTGTATTTAATAATTATAGGTAAATGAAAACACCACAGGAAAGCACTATAAATTATGTTTATTTATGTTAATTAGGTATCTTTAATAGCGCAAACAATGTTTTTTATTTTCTCTTATGAAGTTTTCGTTTATAATATTATAAATAATATCGAAATTACACTTACGATTTTGAAGAATGAGATGTCAATCGATTAGTAATATAGTATTCGGGTGACCTAGACTACATTTTATTTTATACGAGAAACATTTGCTTTTTTTAGATTCCATTAAGGCGAATTAAAACTCTTATCGTAGAGTCACATTGGTAAGGTAATAATTCAATTCAAATGCAGTTTTCAATTCATGAATGTCAACAACAGAAAGTCTAGATTAAAACAATGGATATTATGTTGTCAATCAAGAATAAAAACTGCTCATTATACGAGATTTTAAAGACGTTATTATATTGAAACTAGAAAAAGTCTTCAACAAAACTTAGTAAAAAAAAATGGCTATGTAAGAAAAATATACAAATTAGCAAACATATCAAATTACCATTTTCTACAGTTTTCATTTTGAGCTTTAAGCTGTGAATTGTAATTTTGGTGTCTTTTGGGTTAATTAAATACATATTATGTAGATATTGCTTAATGCATCTTTAAAAAAGGTTAACCATAGCAGTGGACTGTGAATAAATTCTAAACCGAGCATCCGTTTATAGATCGTAAACTTCATGTCATTTATCATGTTTTCTCTCTTTTTCTTTAGAACTAAGAAAAAGAGGGACGTCGAGGAAGTCATTGTCCTGTCCAGTGGTGTATAACCTAACTCGAGCCTGCCGGTCGATCGTGTTTGTTTTTGCATTATTATAAAATTCCATTAAAACGAACCCTCTCTACCAAAGACATCGCTGTGAACGCTGCACATTGACGCTCCGCTATTACTCAGTAACAATTCGTACCAATTTGACCAGTAATGGTGACTCCATAAGCATTTCCTCCGAAACGTACCTGGTCCGTGGTTAGGCCAATTAACTTTTTGTACAGCCTCGCGTATCAGAATGAATCTTAAGGTCCGTAAGTTTTAGTTATGTTACTTTTCCCAGAAATGATGATATCATCGAATCTTTTCCTTTCAATATCTACAGATTTTTTATTATAGAAGACCTCTAATATACAACCTTTGCAAAAAGCTGCACGTTCGTAACTATGACTAATTCTAAATTGATTAATTGTTTCCCGATTAGGTACAAACTTATAAGTTGAATAAGTTTTTATGATTAATAGCTTAATACTAAGTGTGAGTAAATTGATACTCACTGTTATTAATAAGCTATAGAATATTTTTAAAGATGAAATATTTGAAACAACGAATTGAGTTGTTAAACTTTATGCGGTATAGGCCTAAACAAATGCTTGGAAATTATTAAGTATCAAGATCAAACTTAAACTTATGAAAGCTCTATGCTATATAGGCGTATCATGTTTTGAAGTACCTAGGTAATTTTATTCGTTTCTAATGAATGTTTATGTGTTTAATTGTGAATATTCCAGTCTCTAAAAGATCATTTAAATATGAGTAACAATAGTTTTTCCAAGAACTTTGTTACAAGAAGATATAAACATACTCTTACGTGAGCCGATGATTTCACGATATGAAATGCAGATGCATTTGCGTTGCAGTATTTATTTAGGTACTGCTTTTATTGCGGACCTAAAGATTTCTATCAAGGCACGATGCGGGAAGCGTCTGCTCACGACTCCTCCGTGACTTACTTGTAACGCGATAGTTATTAGTGCTAATTATCGTGTCAACAAGTTTTTGTTTTAACACTTAAAATATTGCGTTATTCGCAGAGCTTTTTGTCTTGAGGAAGCGGGCACTTTGTTATGGCTACAGTTTAATGGCTTCTTCAATCACGATTTGCAAAAAAAATGCTTAAAGTCGTTTCATAGCGATCGATTATTATTCATAGAGTTAATAAGTATCGCAAATTATAATCGGTTAAAATAACCCGTTCGGGCATTGGAAATAAATGCGTTAAGAATTAAGATACTTATATCGCATAGGGGATAAGAGATCTAAACTTTTGTAGCACCCATTCGAAATTTGTGAAATGGAATAAAAGAAACGATCTGAAAAAGTACCTATAGTAAGTACCTTGACTTATTATAACTTAGAAAGAACTTTTTGGCTTCCGTGCCAAGAAGGGCGTTTGAGGAAAAGTTGTTACAATTCTTGTAATCAGATAATAATACCGTGAAGCTTTTGTCGGTTATTTTTAAAATTATTTGGCAAAATTACAATTTAATTAAGATATGGGTACTAAATATTAAACTACAAATTAATAAAAAAATATACTCACCAATGACAACACAGTACAAAGCACACAGTATAACGATTGACTTGTACATTTTCAGTCCAGTTAATTAATTGTAATAATTATAATTGCAATCCGTGGGGCACTGGCGCGGGCGGCGAGCGCGGGCTGTCGAGTGATGCGCGGGCGCTCGGAACCGGATTAAAAATGTTAGGCCGCACTCACTGCGGGACGGTTCAACTACTCCCGATGGATATAGCGAGTCAAGTACTTACCTACTGGATTCAGGGTTGGCACCAGGAAACTGGCCAGCACAACGGACCTTAGAATTAAGTTTTTTATTTTTTTTTGTTTTTCAAGCTGGATTTAGCAATTAAAGTCAAACCTACTTACTGGATTTGGGTTGGGGTTGACACTTGGAACTGGCCAGCAGAACAGCCCTTAGATTTAGAAGAAAGTATTTTGTTGTTGTTTTGTTTTAAATACAAATAGCAAGTCAAGAATCTACTAGATTCAGGGATCTACATCAATGGAGCTATGGCATAGGTTGACGGTTGAGATTGCCTAGTTGATGGAGATTCCCGATTGTAAACAAAACAAAATTTCACATTTGTGAACGATCGATAGTTTTTTTTAATGTTATGTTAATTTTTTAAAATATTTTTATTAGGAATAGGTATTTACAATAAACTTTTGCTGAATATTTTTTAACTTTTTTTTTGTGTTTTTGATTTCTGTCAGTGTATTGTTAAATAGAGTACACCTATCCAACTTCTTCTATTCTAAAGATTTTGGATTTATTGGACATAACCTATTTTTTTACTTATTTCTATCTGTCTGTATTATAAAGTCTATATTCTAGCTTAATAATATCTTGTAAAGCTTAGGAAATTTCTCTTTGGACTGCCCCAAATTACCCAAATGGACCTCCACCTATGTTCAGCAGGGGATGTCCTATGGCTGAAAGGATGATGATGATCGTCTAAAATTGTGCTAATTTTAATTAACTTTATTGATTGGTTTTAATGGTATCTATCATGGCGAAAAGTGTTGCGGTGTGGTGGGAAAAAGGCCCAATTAACTAAACTAAACCTACAACCTAACCTAATAATATTTTATTTTTGGCACAATATACGTTTTCCAATCCTTATAGTGTTTTGCAATGTTTTGTCTTGAGAACTACGTCTCATTTCTTGACCCTTGCAATTGACATTATGTTTCTCTGAAAACAATGTCTGTGATAACAGCAGATAAGAAATATTTCCTAGAGAATCCAATACCTACATTCGGTTTACTTATTACTTTATTAGTTTCTTGCGCTTTCTTATCAAACGCGAGAAGTTGCCCCAGAGTGGTAGGGCAAAGTTTATAAGACTAAATAAATAAATAAATAAAAAAGACTTGAATTGCCCTAAAGAAGTCGTTTAACGAAATCAGGCCCCTAATGATATATTTTTTTTTATAGATACTTATGACGATTATTCTTTAGGTATACATAAAATAAGTTCACTATGTTATAGGTACTGGGACGTGTAAAAGTGCTTTTTATAATCCTACTTTCAAAAATAAAATGAGTTTTTTGAGTTTAATTTGATTGAGTTGAGGTTGAGTTTCAAAGTTAAAGAATCCATTCTCGAGTATACTAATACATCACATTGCCATTATCATCATTTTGCTCTTATGTATTTTGCAGTAAGTTTATAAGTGGGTACATTTTCTCAGAAATACTTGTTCTGCATAAATCAAAGTTGTCAAACTTATCAGTTAATTTCTGGTTAAAAGACAATAACTTAACGGATTACGTGTAAAACATCATAAATATTATTGAATCACTGAGTTGCAATAACAACTTACAACGATAGTGTAACATTAATTACGATGATATCAACTCGATCCCTTCGCCTGTAGGCTCCTTTGTTCTGGCCCCTGTAGACGACTCTGAGGTTATGCAGATCATAATTGGTCTGAGGGAGAAATGTGCTGTGGGAATTGATTTGATTTCTAGTAAAATAGTCAAAAGATACGCTCACTTCCTGGTTACTCCAATCACTCATATCTGCAATTTAGCAATGTCAAACGGGGTGTTTCCTGCGGTGTTCAAGGTGGGACTTATTAAGCCAGTATACAAGAGCGGAGAGAGGGACCGTGTCGATAATTATAGACCCATCTCAATTTTACCGACTCTATCAAAGATCCTGGAAAGATTGGTTAATAAGAGACTTGTTGAGTTTCTGGAGTCAAATAGCCTTTTATCTCCTTCTCAGTACGGCTTCCGAAAGGGAAGGTCTACAAATGATGCTGTCCACGAACTTATTCATTCCATTGTAACTTCCCTTGATGATCATAGGAAGCCTCTGGTGATATTCCTTGATCTTGCGAAAGCATTCGACACGGTCTCGATTCCTCGTCTCTTGAATAAGCTGGAAAAGGTGGGGGTAAGAGGTATTCCCCTTAAATTTTTTGAGGACTATTTAAATAATAGGACTCAGAGAGTGAAAATAGATGATTGGTTTAGTGGAGATGCTGGTGTCACGTATGGGGTGCCGCAGGGCAGCATATTAGGTCCTACACTGTTTCTAGTGTATATTAATGACCTATGCCAATATCAACTCAACGGGGGTAGTGTCTTTACTTTTGCTGACGACACAGCCCTATTTTTCAGCGGAGACTCCTGGGATGACACCTTTAATAACGCTCAAATGGGATTTGACGGGGTAAATAATTGGCTGAGGCACAACCTACTCACACTGAATGTCACTAAGACGAAATATGTAGCATTTGCGTTCAGATCCAGCCTTCTTCCTTCGCAAGTATTCTCAATTACAGCCCATGGGTGCAGCCCACAACCTCCAGTAGCGCAGTGTCTCTGCCCAGTGGTACAGCGTACGGAGTCCATGAGATACCTCGGAGTCATAATAGACCAAACTCTTGCCTTTAAGTCTCATATTGACACCCTTACTTCAAGGCTACGTAAGCTTATTTACGTCTTCAAAACTTTAAAAAACGTGGCTAGCCGAGGTGTTATAAGGGCAGTTTATTGTGCACTAGGACATTCTTTATTAGAATACTGTGTCTCAGCATGGGGTGGTGCTGCCAAGTCTCATATATTGGGTCTCGAAAGGGCTCAACGTGCCCTTCTTAAGGTGGCAGCTGGGTTACCCTTCCGTTATCCTACCGTAGCCAAATTTCAGCTCTCTGAGTTGATGGGAAGTACTAGTTCTATTTTGATGATCATCAGTGAGTGAGTGAGTGAGTGAGTGTCGTAAATGCGAAACTTTGCTTTCGCATAACTTCGGAACTAAATGACCTACAGACTTGAAATTTTGGATTTTAAGTATGTGATTATAGCTTACTAGATGACGAAAATTTCTGCGTTCTGGTCTTATCCAGAGGTTCTCAAATAGGGGCCTGAAAATGCGGCGAAATGGTTCCAGTAAAGGATGGTACGGCAGTGTTTGCTTCGCGCTCGACTTGGCGGGGGCACTGCCGTGCCCCCAGATTTCAGCTTTAAAGTTATCGAACTGCAATAAAATATCAGGAATTCTTCTATAAGCCTACCAAATTATAAAGGTTACAGAAAAGCGATTAAATATTAAATTTCTATGAGTCTCCAGCGCATGGGCGTAGCCAGCCTTGGGCGGCGGCTGAGGGCAGTTTTTCGCCCCCAGTATATGCTTCGATGCCTTTCCTGCCGCTACGCACAAAAGGCAACGGGGGTCTACGGCCGGGCACACCTTGGTCGTACGGCCCTCTTCTCCGCAGCGACTACAGAATCCTCTGCGGTTGATGCCTGCGGTACACTTGAAGGCCATAATATGGCCAGTGCCCCAACAGATGACCATCTAGATGGCCTCGGTTTGAACAGTGCTACCTGCACCGAGTCCCACCCTATCAGCAGCCGACGACTGCCATCTATTTTGCCGCTTGCGCTGGCACTCTTACTCGTATTTCGCTACTGTGATATTGTTGTGGGCAGTTTGTCTTGGCCGCGATCGCTGCAGAGACCTCCAACGCCCCGGTGGTCATCATGACCCATGAAGCGGAGGTCCTCGGACTTAATTGGCCGCCTGATGCTGACCACGTCGCGCGCGACTGAACTCCGGCGTCGCCCGTAGAGGGGTCGCCAGTTTGTCCGCCTTCTCCTCGACGTCCGAGCAAGACAGGACGAGAAGCTTCGTCGAGGATTGGCTTGGCTTGAAACGGAGGCCATCCATTATGCCCAGTTGGGCTAGATCCACCTGCTGACTGGCCAAGTGCATGGACCAGATAAAGTCGCGAGGTGGATCATGCTGGACGGCCTCCTGACTCATCGTTACGGTTATGGCGGTGGCAAGGGGCGGGCAGCTACATGGATAGGCGCGGAGGCAAATGAATGAAGCATTGTCCCGTTTTTTTCGAGCGCGGCCCTTTGATGTAGATGGCGCAGGAGCCGCGGCCGCTGAGGAGAGCTCAGCAGCAGATGACTGTGCAGGCGCCGTCTTGGGGCCGGGACGTGCCTTGGCACGACTAGTTTTTGTGCAGGACGCCGTTTCGCGCTAGAGTGGCAGATGCGACCCTTTATGCCACTGTCAGAGCCAGTGAAGGCACCTTTATGACACCCTATAACAACATGTATCTATCATGTCTCAGCTTTTTGTTTTAAATTTGCATTTTTTGTTTAGGGTGTGAACTTTCAAGGATATTAAGTTTTGTAGTTAGTTTATTTTTAGATAATTCTTCAGATAATTCTTAATAGCATCATTATATAATATACTCTATGGTAGCATCTTTTCGAATTGTGGGCAATATGAGAATACCACAATATCGTCTGCAAAACGTAGGTGTAATAGATATTCTCCGTTTATGTTATTCCTCTTTTACAACTTTACGAGCATGATCGTACATCCTGCTGCACCGTCGGCATTGACTGCCGGGCGACCCATGAACCCTCACTCAACCTGCACCGTCGGCACTCTACACCGACGGCACACTAGCATAACCATGTACTTAACTGTGGTGTACACTGAACAACCATGCATGACTGTATAATAGCATAATCAAACATCAATAATACAGATATCAACGGAACCGTCCGTCGTTGTGTCTCATTTCCCCCCGCTGCGGCCAAGACACCTGTGGCGACATCTACGATACGCTACTACAAACGGTACCAATAGATGGCTTTTACGATGTTACGACTTCGCTATGGCATACTCCACCTCGCTCGCCTACAATCCTGCATCGCGGTGTCGGAGTTTTCTACC